CTCCCATCTCCCAAAACCACATAATGTCCCAATGCGGATTAAATGGCGGTTTTGCCTGACATTGCACCTACGTAGCTGGTTTGACTTGGTCCCCGTCCTACGTCGCAGTGACAGGGACTATAAGTAAAATTTATTTTTTCAAAAAAAATATAGGGCTCAGTCAGATAAAACATAAAAATGGTGGGGTCCACAAGTTAGTGGGTCCCATCCTCCTCTCTATCTCCACGCACAGCGGCGCCTCCTTCTTTCCTTTCCTTCTCAGCAATCCATCCTCCCTCCTCAAGCTCCATCGTCAGCAGGTTACCGCTGCCGCCTGGAGCTCCTCGGCAGCGGCGCTCATGCGATCTGGAGTAGGTGGTTGGTGGCGCAATCACTGTTGCGTCCATAGGAGGCAGCGGCGGTGGTGGTGGGAAGTCCACTGCAATGGGGCTCAAGGAGCCATAGGTGACGACGCAGATGCAAGGAATGAGCTTAAGGAGGTGAAGGTGGCGGCTGCTCGGGATGTTGGTAGAGGCTTCTTCCTCTGTAGTAGGAAGAGAAGAGGTGGGTGGGGGAGGGGGAGATGAGATCTATGTGAAGAAGAAGCCGCCGGCGGTGACAATGTTGGACGAGACGTCGGTGGCGATGTTGATGTCGTTCATGACGGGCTCGGTGATAGGGAAGCGGTTCTACCACAAGCCCACCATGCGGCGTGCCGATGACAGGAACGGGTGGATGGTTATTGATGCACCCTGAGTTCCTCTCGACACTCAAGGCTATTCTTGGCCCGATCTTTCGGTGAGTTGATGATAACTACGATTTGGGAGAAACGTTGACGACCCGACTACAACCGTACAAGACGTTGCGTTGCGCCTTAGCGATCGATACACCTCTCCATGGGTTGTTGATCTTGCCGGTGCAAATCAACCTTATTCCTGCAAGCAAATCGAAGAAACAAGCAAGAACAAGATAAAAGCAATCTGAATTGCAAATAGGAGTTAAATACGAATGATAAGTTGGGGTTCCGAAGAACAAGCAGACGGACGGTCTAGCCGACATGCGCGCTGCAAGCAAGTAGCAATGGCTAAACTTCAATCTATCAAAACCCGAGAAACCCTTAAGGGGTAACTAGCTATATATAGGGGTGGGAGGACGACCTAGGAGTGCCTAGGGTCGTGCTCCACCAGCTTGGGGTGCACCCCACATGGGCCCCACCTGGGCCGGGGTCCCAAATGAAGTTACAAGCTCATAGGCCCATTATAGGTGACGCAACACCTTGTTCCTGTGATTCCGGCCACACGAGATGGAATTCAGAGAAGAGACTGGATCCGTTAGAAAGAGGGCTCCGACAGCTTTCCATCAAGTACTCACGGGCTGAAAACGGAGGTCGTATGCAGATTCGGTGGCCGTTTGAAGTCAGCAGTGTAGTAGGTGGCCGAATCGGATTCCAGCACTTGGAGTACTTGATCTCGATATCTTCTTGTTCATCCATGATGTGAGCAATAGTTGCATCCGTGGTAGCCATGGTCACATCATCCTCCCCTTCTTCACGGAAAACCGTCCTCGGTTTTTCCATATGGTGCTCTTTGCGTAGTCCATTTACAACAACCTGTTTCTTCCAACCAAAACAAGGCAAACTCGAGACAATTTGGTTAGCAATAACATTTTTCTCTAGCTTGCATGTTTTATCCACATGTACAGGAAGTTCTAAATCTGAGTAGATGTAAACTCTATGCACAAAATATATTCCAAGATCATTATAATCGCCAAAGATGTGAAATATAACATTACGACGTCAGAGGGAGGGAGTCAGACTCAGCTAAAGTGGGCGACAAAAGAAGATGGCACCAACCGGTCTTCACGCGTGGGGAGAGTTTGGAAAGTTTGGCCTTAGATGGAAACTAACCAACCTGATTGATCTAGTCTGCAAAACTTCCTCCAAAAACAGATCTGTTATCTTTTCTTTCTCTCCTCTTCCTCGTGCAAGAGAAACAAGCACGGCCGAATACAGACGACAAACCCTTGATGCAACTCAGCAACTCCAAGACCGACCGACAGAAACTTCTGAAAACTAGAAAAATGAAACCCCGACAACAAGATGATTCCGTTTTCCTAGGTCCCGACGACAACAAAGACACGGCGGGGGCGATGACAGTGGTACAAAACGTGACCAGAACTCGAAACTCTAAACGAACTAAACGCTAAGACCAGCAACACGACTCGACAATGCAACACAAAACTCAACAAAGCAAAAACTGATAAAAACAATGCAATGGCACAAATGTGGCTAGGTAATGTATGAATTTTTTTTGGGCTATTTTCTGGTTAAAGGTAAATGAAAACTCACCGAGCAACGAAAGCTCTGATACCACCTGATGCACCCTGAGTTCCTCTCGACACTCAAGGCTGTTCTTGGCCTGATCTTTCGGTGAGTTGATGATAACTACGATTTGGGAGAAACGTTGACGACCCGACTACAACCGTACAAGACGCTGCGTTGCGCCTTAGCGATCGATACACCTCTCCATGGGTTGTTGATCTTGCCGGTGCAAATCAACCTTATTCCTGCAAGCAAATCGAAGAAACAAGCAAGAACAAGATAAAAGCAATCTGAATTACAAATAGGAGTTAAATACGAATGATAAGTTGGGGTTCCGAAGAACAAGCAGACGGACGGTCTAGCCGACACGCGCGCTGTAAGCAAGTAGCAATGGCTAAACTTCAATCTATCAAAACCCGAGAAACCCTTAAGGGGTAACTAGCTATATATAGGGGTGGGAGGACGACCTAGGAGTGCCTAGGGTCGTGCTCCACCAGCTTGGGGCGCACCCCACATGGGCCTCACCTGGCCCGGGGTCCCAAATGAAGTTACAAGCCCATAGGCCCATTATAGGTGACGCAACACCTTGTTCCTGTGATTCCGGCCACACGAGATGGAATTCAGAGAAGAGACTGGATCCGTTAGAAAGAGGGCTCCGAGAGCTTTCCATCAAGTACTCACGGGCTGAAAACGGAGGTCGTATGCAGATTCGGTGGCCGTTTGAAGTCAGCAGTGTAGTAGGTGGCCGAATCGGATTCTAGCACTTGGAGTACTTGATCTTGATATCTTCTTGTTCATCCATGATGTGAGCAATGGTTGCATCCGTGGTAGCCATGGTCACATCAGTTATGCTCGGCTACCGCACCCTCAAGCCACTAGCGAGTAGCGAAGCATCCGTACAAGCTGCAGTCGCAGACGCTCACCATGGCCATCCGCCTCGAGTGGGAGTACAAGGTCATGATCCCCATGCCTCCCTCCACTCTCGCTCCCCTGTGCGGTGACGCCCAATCTGAGCTCTGCCAATTTCGACGTGTGGAGTGAGGTCTCCGTCTTATCTCTTTGGACCGACGACGACGGGAGGAGCCAGCTCATCAACTTCAGTGGCGATTCGATAACCAATCCCACCAAGAGGAAGGAAAAATAGGAGGTGGCCAAGGAAGCAATCGTTGAGAGGAACGCCAAAAAGCCCAAGGAGAAGGATTCATCGGGAGGTGGAAGGCCATGACAAGCGACGGGCGCAAATCTCGTTGAGATGTCAAATCGACCGCAATTGGTATGTGTGCGCTACATAAGTTAAAATCGTTGTTGAGGACACTTTGCAAACGCATAATCGCAATGGTGGAGCCACATACAAGCTGTGGGATCGGTTGACCCCACAACCTTTTTTCACTGCCATCCTTGTAGTTACTATTTTTTTCCATGTAAAACAATTGAATTTCGTGTAAATAACCTTACTAAAATATCAAGTAATGATAATTGATCTCGGTGGATAAAATTGTTGGTTCTGAAAGTATTGTTTGCACATGGCCGACAATGTCTCCAAGCGCCAAGTCGCTTCAGTGAGAGCATTGTTCGCACAATGATGCTTCCCCGACAGTAGCTCCGCATAACTATCTACTTTCCAAGCTACTTAATCAGAGCGCATGTGTCCTCGTAGGAAAGCTTGGATTTAGGGAGACCACTTGCCAAGTCACCATATTGTAAATGCCTAGTATAATGATTTGTTTTTGCCTTAATGGTAAGGTTACTCCCTTTCTTGCGTGAGCATGTTTCCCAAGATGCTAAACAATGAGGTTTTTAGAATTTTCTTTCGAAAGTTACTTTTAAATGATAAAGCAAATTCATTTTTTTTAAGTTTGCGATAATCAATACTTTTACTTAATTAATCAGGATGGGCCTCTTCCGTAGGATCGAACAACCCTGAAACGAGCAAAACGAGCATGGTTTGTTCGTCCATGTGTGCTTCTCCCTGAATCGTCGGTTCGACGATAGTGCAAAACCTCTCCCTCTCACGAGCCATTGCTTAGCCAGGTGGCCACCACACTCGCATACAAGTCAGCAACACAAACGAACGAAGCTAGAGAGGCTCCAATGCAGCAAAGATCTGGAATATGCCACTCCGAGAGCAAGTTCAGTAGTATAGCCAACTACTAGCTCCAATTCATTTACAGTCAATCTAATAGTTAATTCATACAATAGTTATATACTATAATATTAATACTTAAGTCCCACCTATCATATACACACTATGTATTAAAACCCGTGCTACAGCTGGCTGTAAATTTGTAGCCCGCTACTCTTCTCTCTTTTTATTTATTTTCTTAAAATACATTTTCATCTGGCTTATAGCCATGCTATTGTACCTGCTCTCACAGACGCTCAGGCAGAAAGAAGCCATTCCTTGGCTGCCTGCCACTCCCCCGACGAGTGGCCCCCACGGATATACCTCCAAAACCCCGGAAAGGAACAGCCAGCGAGCAAGCAAAAGCAAAGCAACGGCGGCGGGCGACGTGTGGACGTCCGGCCTCGCGCCGGATAGCGTGCGCGAGCAACCAGAAAAGGGAAATCGGAAATCCCTCGTCACTCTCCCCACCCACACCCACTGACGGCTCGACCCCACGTTGCGTGGGTCCCACGCGGCAGTGGAGTGGGGTGGCGTTATGCTGTGTCACGTGGAATACCGCGCCTTAAAGCGTCGGCTCGCCGCTCGCTCGCTCGCTCTTCCTCTCCACGCTGCGGCCGCCGCGGTTGTGTCCCTAGTGGAAAGTTGCACGAGCTCACGGGGGTCAGGCGACTAGGCGAGGAGAGAAGAGGAGAGGAGAGGAGAGGAGAGGTTTGGATTGGGAAGGATCACCAGCTCACCACCCGTTTCTCTCTCCGGCATTGCGAGGGGAAGGCGGCGACGGGAGGCGCGCGCGGGTGTAGACGCGTAGTGATGGCGGCGATGGACCTGCGGGTGGCCGCCCCGGCCTCCGTGGCCGCGGCGGCGCGGTGCGGCACGAGCCTGGCGAGGCCGTGGCCTGCCCGGGCGGTGGGAGGAGGAGGAGGAGGAGGAGGACGGGGCCGGCGTCTCTCCGTGCGGACGTCCGTCGCGACCACCGAGGCCGCCGCCGCCGCCGTGGGCGCCGTCAGTGCACATGCTCTCTCTCTCTCTCTCTCTCTCTCTCTCTCTCTCTCTCTCTCTCTCTATATATATATATATATATATATATATATATATATATATATATATATATATATATATGTCGCGCGCGCGCGGTGCTTGATTTGTTTTTCGTGGTGTTGCAGTCGGAGGACGCGGCGCTGGAGGCGCGGGACTCGAAGACGGTGGTGGCGGTCATCCTCGGCGGCGGCGCGGGGACGAGGCTGTTCCCGCTCACCAAGCGCAGGGCCAAGCCCGCGGTGAGTACAGCGTACAAACACCTTAGTCCCGTCGCGGTTTCTTCTGCCGCAAAAGATTCAGCAAATGCGAGTAAATTGTCTCATGGTTGTTAATTTTTGCCATTGCAGGTGCCCATTGGCGGAGCGTACAGGCTGATCGACGTGCCGATGAGCAACTGCATAAACAGCGGCATCAACAAGGTGTACATTCTCACCCAGTTCAACTCCGCGTCGCTCAACCGGCACCTTTCCCGGGCGTATAACTTCAGCAACGGCGTCGCGTTTGGAGATGGATTCGTCGAGGTGCTAAATCCAGACAGTATAATGTTCTTCTTTACGGGATTGTGCTACTGTTAATTTGGTGATCTGATGAAAAGGGATAACAAAAATGGAACTTGCTCTCTAACTCAGGTCCTAGCAGCAACTCAGACGCCTGGATCGGAGGGAAAGAGGTGGTTTCAGGGTACAGCTGATGCTGTTCGGCAATTTGACTGGCTTTTTGATGTACGTTTTTTTATCAGATATTTGAGATGTGCGATGCTTACTTTTATCATCGATATGGAGCACTATAGCCAATGCAGTGACTAGAAGTCATCTATGTTTAACTTTTTACTGCGCCTTCTGACTTCTGTTGCATATTTGTGTGTTTAGAATCATTCGTATCTGTTTACAGTGGTTCAATTTGAGGAAAATCAAATGAACTTTTCAATTATCCCTTGTTATTTGATCGTACTATTCTACTGAAAAACCTCATCATGCTCCTTACATAATTTTAATGCATCGTGCTATCGTTTTGTAGGATGCCAAAGCTAAAGACATCGATGATGTGCTGATTCTTTCTGGTGATCATCTCTACCGCATGGACTACATGGACTTTGTTCAGGTAATTGTCTGTACATACATCATTTCTTGTAGTTGGCTGTTAAAGTAGTATATTTGAATTGATTTTGGGTATCCAATTTACAGAGTCATCGGCAAAGAGGTGCAGACATCAGCATCTGTTGCTTGCCTATTGATGATAGGTGATTCCTGTACCATTTCAGTAGCTTCATCCATGAACAATGAAGTGACCTCTCATACCAAGTTTTAGATAAATTGAATTGTTTTATTTGGTAAGAGAAATATTTGGATTTTGAAAATACACTACTCTCTTTCATTTGTTTATTTCGTCCTTGTCAGCCGGGCATCTGATTTTGGTCTAATGAAGATAGACGACACAGGAAGAGTTATCGCATTTAGTGAAAAACCAAAAGGAGATGATTTAAAGGCAATGGTAGGTCATATATGTTTATTCATACGGGAATGGATTCTAAACCCTCGAGGGGATATCCCCTCGTATATCTTTTTCTTTCAAATTCGATACAAATAGTTATGAAAAAATCTGAAAAAAATTGACAATGTAGAGTATAATGATACCTACTAATCCACCAAAATTCAAGTTCAAATTCGATCTACACATCGAGAAACAAAAAAGACAAATTTAGATATAAACAGTACGCTACTATTCATATGCTGAATTTGTCTTTTTTATATCTCGATGTGTGAGTTGAGTTTGGACTTAAGATTTTGTGGAGTTGTATATATGTGTTGTATGAATGTTGTTAAATTTTTCCAGAATTTTTCATAACCGTTTAGATGGTTTTTAGGTAAACGAGGGAACATCCCCTCGAGGGATTAGAATAGTTTCCCTATTCATACCACCCATCTGTCCTATGTACATATTGGAATCATATTCTAGATGGCCCAATGCACCAGTTAGTGCTGCACACAAAGAAAATAACTGATAATTTCATCAGACATTCTTTATTTTTCTTTGTGCAGCAAGTTGACACCACTGTTCTAGGCTTACCACAGGATGAAGCAAAAGAGAAGCCATACATAGCGTCAATGGGGGTTTATATATTTAAGAAAGAGATACTTCTAAATCTTTTGAGGTATGCCAATTCAACTCAATGGAGCTCACATAAAAATTCAGTAAAATGCTCCATTTAATCATCTGACTATAAAGTGTACTTTCATTCTAATGCCAAACCTCAATTTCAGTGATGTCAATAGTATAATAAACAAACCAGCTTTTTTGTTCTTCTGTTTATGTGGTATTGATTGCTATCAGGTCTTAATCTTTACCGCAATTGTTGTTAGGTCAGATGGCGTTTTCCCACAGCAAATGACTTTGGATCTGAAATCATTCCTGCTTCAGCAAAAGAAATCAATGTAAAGGTAAGGATTTAACATAATAAGTTCCATTTGGTAGTGTTCTCTAATATTGCACTATTGGCATCAGATTTACACAAATTTATTCAATAATAATACTGCATATGTATGATGTATTATTTATTTTCTTACAATCAACTTCAGTATCATGTCAGAAACTAGCCTTGAACATCTCAGGCACAGTTGTAACCTAGAACTCATTGCAGGCATATCTTTTCAATGATTACTGGGAAGACATAGGAACTATAAAATCATTCTTTGAAGCCAATCTTTCTCTTGCTGAACAGGTATGCTTTACTAATACAAAATTGCCATTTTATCCGTATTCCTGCAGTTTATATCCCTCTAATAAATATGTAACTGTACACACTGCAAATTGATACTTTATGTTCACCATCCTTCTAGCAACTCCTGACTTCCTTTTCCCCACCGTATTCATTTATGTTATTAACTTCTACGTATAGTATCATGATGGTGATAGTACTACATAGGTACGAAATTTTCTTTTTAAAACAGATCAAATGAAAACTCTCTGTAACTTTTGATCATTTTTGAATTCACTTATGCAGCCACCGAGATTCAGCTTTTATGATGCTAATAAACCAATGTACACATCACGGAGAAACTTACCGCCATCTATGATCAATAATAGTAAGGTATGTGATACCCTATCTGAACTAGCATGTATCCCTTTCTGTGATATTTTAGTTCCCAAATATTCCTTATGTCACTTTCGACGCATGTATCCAATTAGCAATTCATTTAATCCTGGTTATGTGCCTTTGCTCACTTAGGGAAGTTGCTTATTAATATTAAATTTAGAGGGTTCCTTTACCCTTCTTTTAAAATCAATTCGGTTGGCTTGCCATCTTCTAACACTGTTTAAACCATTGCAGATCACTGATTCAATCATTTCCCATGGATGTTTCTTGGATAGCTGCAGGATAGAGCACAGTGTTGTTGGAATCCGTTCTAGGATAGGTTCCAATGTGCACCTCAAGGTCAGATATTTTCATTTTCACTGCTAGAAGCATAAAACACCAACGGAATGGCCTTCCAAATTACATAAAATATTTCTGTTCCATTGTCCTGCAGGATACAGTAATGCTTGGTGCTGATTTCTATGAGACTGATCTGGAAAGAGGAGAACTGCTGGCTGAAGGAAAGGTTCCTATTGGAATCGGGGAGAATACAAAGATTCAGTATGCATGCAAATTTACTTCCTAGCTTGTTGGCCCAATAATATAATAATATAATACTCCCTCCATCCATAAAAGTTACACCTATTTTACTTTTGAGTTTTTCTAAATAAGTTGTTCCTATTTGTAGTATTTGTGCATTTAATACTTAAGCGAAGAGATAAATTAAATATTTTATTAGAACCCAAGGAGTTATCTAAATACTCATTGGTTACATGCTTGCATTTACTCCTTGATTTTGTAATATCCAAGGTGATTTAATTTCTCCTTGGTCTTGGTGTCAAAAGTAATATATGTAACTTTTGTGGATGGAGGGAGTACATCACTTTTACATGTTTGTCTTGGTTATCAATAGTTCAAAAAAATTTATTTTACTCATAGTGTGTCTCATTATTGTCCTCTGAAGGAACTGCATAATAGACAAGAATGCGAGGATAGGGAAGAATGTAACAATTTCCAACTCTGAGGTATGCATTATCTCTATTACCCCTTCTAACATGCTTCTATGTTTTTTTTCCCTGAAACCCGTTTCTATTGTCGAAAATAGTTCTATAACTTGATCAACACTAATAAAAATCACAAAGTACCGAGAAACGCCCAGGGGTATTCCGGCTAGCTCCACAAGGTGGTGGGCTAGACGACCTAGGTTCGAAGCCTCACCCCTTCTAATTATTTGATATTGTGGTTGTCTGTTGGGTCTTAAATTTCAGGGTGTACAGGAAGCAGATAGGACCTCTGAAGGCTTCTACATCCGATCAGGCATCACCATCGTATTAAAGAACTCGATAATTGCAGATGGATTAGTCATCTGAGGTGGAATAAAGCCCTCCCTTATCCAACCAGAAAAAGCCAGCCATGACCATTTGCGGCAGGAATAGAATAAAATCATCAGAGCTCTTTGTTCTTAGTTGTGTACTTAGCATTCAAGAGCTTCTGCATGTCTGTACAAAATCATTGTCTCGTGAATCTACCGTGTGTGTTTTCACACTAAACACATGGTCATGAAGCTCGAAAAAAAAAACAAAATTTTATGATCTGGGGTATTGGTTGTTCCATGTAATCTGCAGGCGAAGAAAACCTTACCTATCTACAGGTGTACTCTCTCCGTCAAAAAAAAAAAAACTTAATCTAGATGGGAATTTGACACAACCTTGAACAACAAATTTGGATGTCTGATTTGTTCTCAGGTTTGATTTTTAGTTTTTTACGGAGGGAGACTTGAAGAAAAGGGTTGACATGAAATACGTTTTTCAGGTTTAGAGGCGTAAAAGCAAAATACGTGACCGTCCACCCTTGTACACTGTCCGGACAGACGCGACGTACAACGGTGCGTATATATCCGTCACACGTGTGCGCCTCCCACCCATCCACCACACGTGCGCGCGAACGGAGCTCGTTTCTTCTCCCCCCCTACCTCTGCCCCACGTTGGCTCGCGTCCGCGGCCCATCTCCACCGTCCGATCCCGAGCCGATGGCGGCGGAGCCCCCGGCGGACGGCCGCGATCCCCCGGCGGACGATGGCGCCGCCGGCGACGGCGCGGTGGAGTCCGCGGCGGCGGAGGCGCTCCTGAGCGCGGCGTCGGAGCAGCTGACGCTCGTGTACCAGGGGGAGGTCTACGTCTTCGACCCCGTCCCGCCCCAAAAGGTCGCGCCCTTTTTCACCCCTTCCAAAATTTTTTTCCATCGCGTCCGTTTGGTTCTTCCCTTTCGCCCTTTCGGTAGCTCCGGTGAGTGGGGTTGACTTTGCGCGCGGTGGCGCGGGAGATTGGCGAGGGTGGGCTGCGGGGGCCGAATTGGACTAGGGGATTCGCGTTTCGTTGGCGATGCTGCTTGGTTTTCGGAGAAGGCGGCGTCCTCGTGATGAATTTGGTGTGCCTTTTCTTCGATTTTGAATGTGTTGTTGCGGTAGAATGGAGCGATGGAAATTAGCATGCATGTTTCCTCCGATTGCACCAAGCGAGCAATCTTTTTGGGTGTAATTGGTTGGTTTGATGAATAGATTGGCCATTTTTGTTTGCTCTAGGTTGAGCAGAGGTCTGTTTGCGTCCTCGTTGAATTTCGCCAGAGAATGCGTACTCTGTGACTTTGTGCTACTGTGTTAACAGTAATTTGTCGATTGATCGTCTAGGAAATTGGGTATTGTTCTAATTAGGATTGACTTTTTTTAAATGTATACCAGTTGATTATATGCTGTTTCTTGCGGAATTTAGTTTCGTGTGCTTGTCTGCTTGATTTGCTATATCTCATCGATTTCTATTTGACTTTCTACAGAAAATGGAGGCTTTCTTAGATAGATTTGACCTTTTGCTGCCTTCTTTCATGTCTTTTTAGTGCCTATCTTTGGTGAATTTGAGAATAGGGTGCAAGTTTAAATGCTGCAACATCTGTTTTATTTAGTTGAATGCATTCCCAGCATGTTGAATGGAGATAAGAATTTGACTGTCTAATGAAACAAATAGTACCATCACTAATCACTTGTTTTGTTTGTGTTTGTACCTTTTCCTTCTTATGCTAAATTGCTAAGGCATTGATTTATTTGCAAATGTGTAGTGCCACAGCCCACACCTAAGTAGTCAACATATTTTCTCAGCTTTGATAGGGGAAAAAGTGTACTTTAGGGCATGTTTTGGGATATAATTGTTACTATTTTGTTAAGAAAAAGTAGCCCCATTGGCATTGCTAGCAGTAGCAGGCATCTGTCTCAACACTAATGCTCGTACTCATATGTTGGTTTCATCCAGTTGTTCAAAGAAGGGGGTCCATCTTCTCTGTTTAACTTTATCTGCACTCATGTGTTTTCTATTTCTTCTATCACAAGTTTAGAGAAATGTACCTTTGATGAATCAAATGGCACTGGAAGAATATATTCTGTGCACATTGAAAATGTTTTTTTTCCCTTTAGTTAACAGTGTTTGGAACCAACGTAATGAATGCATATTCAACAGGCAACTGAAATAAATTGACACTAAAAGAGCTGAATAGTGTGCAAAGCATGTTAATTGTGGCCCTGGGTTAAGGTGGATTATCTTGTACAGTATATACTTCTTGTGATTAATTCAGGTGGTTCTGGAGATTTGAGGGAGAATGCTTGAGCTCTGACTTTTCTTCATTGGAAAGTTGGAGCCATCTAATTCTTAAGGAAATGCCATCTGGAGTAATCTGTGGTTCTGTCAACCTCATAGTTGTTATGTATTTTTTTTTTAGAAAAACATCTTTCATTTGATCCAATGCTTACAAGGTGGTTTTGCATACCTTATAATACAAATGGCTTCAGGAAAAGTGACACACGCTAGCATTTGCTTTGGTCTAGTTCATTTTCTCAAACATAGTTTTCCCTTTTTTTATTCAAGAGAGTATCTTTGACCTTGCAATCATGAGAAGCCTTCTGGAGTCATTTATAGTGAAAATCTTCATTAACAAAAAGGGAATATAACATATCTAGAAACACATCCCTGTTGGTATGAATTCCATCTATTATACTGAGATAATATACTGACTATGTTGGATGAAATATAAGCTGGTAAAATTGGCTTGAAAGAAACGTAAACCAAACGACACACGCATATAAATTGCTGGCTGATTCTGGTAAATGATTATGAGAATAATGACATATTATGCTGTGCATATAGTTAACCTGAGATGGACACATTCCCCTGATGGCAAATAAGTGTGACTCGGTTAAAATGGAAATTTTTTCCAGCTGATGTATTCACCATGTGACCTTGGTCAAGGTGACACACCTTTTCTAATCTGTATTCCTTCTCTTTTTTCAGCTTTTCCTGTCCCATGAATCAATTGTGATGCAACCATAGTAAAGTTTCAAGGGTGATCATGTGCTTATGTTACTAGTGATGAGCTGCTGTTTATTGCTTTGGCTATTATATTGCTCATGGCCATTTGTAGTTGATATACATGACTGACTGTTATGTTAGTGTTATACAGGTTCAGGCTGTTCTATTGGTACTTGGAGGGTCTGACATGCCTCCTGGTTTAGTAAGCATGGCTGTACCTACCACATTCGATGAAAAGGTATCCATGTTCTGTAGAATCTCTACACAAAGGTTGTTTGACTATTTCTAGTTTCTCCTAAAGCTTTTACTGTGTCGTGTGTAGAGTACAACTGTGGCTGCCAGAAGAGTTGCTTCCTTAATGAGGTTTCGTGAGAAGAGGAAGGAAAGATGTTTTGATAAGAAAATAAGATACAGTGTTCGTAAGGAGGTTGCTCAAAAGTATGGACTTGACTCATGCCCATTCCCTTCTGCACTGTCTAAAATATACACGTTCTGAACATATTTCTACCATCATAATTGCAGGGTGAATGCATATGCACTTTTAAATGGCATTCCTGACTTGCTAATTTAGTGTGAAAATGCTTGTTATATCAAATTAACAATGTTGTGATCTTTCATTATTAATAAACCAGCATTTTACCTGATTCTTGTCACATCAACCTTTTCTTATAAGACAATAAACTAAGACAGATGGGGATATAGCTCTGTTGACTAGTATTTTTTTAAATTTTCCATGTAGCTTATCCGTTATGACGTCACTTGTTCTTGAATAGTTATAGAGGGAGTAATGATGGCTCAGAAATATTTTCAGTAGCAATGAATAACAGCATAAAACTATGGGTCATGGAACAATCATGTCTTACTGGTGCAATAAAAGTTTCTTACATTGTAATTTGCCTTTGCAATGTCACATTGCTAACTTTCATGGTTCTAATATGCAAAATGAATGTTTACAGCACTTTATTCCAATTGGTTATAAAAAACCTGCTCTTGATTTTTTGCCCCATTTAGTAAGATTGGGCTGCTCTGAATAAATAAATTGCTTTATCAGTACCATGTCATTCAGTCATTCTCTGTTTACCATTCTTGGTACAGGCAGTCAACATAAGATTGCTGTTGAGCTATTCTTCTGTAACCATTTATTTTGTTTCAGATGTTATAATATGCACGCATTATAATTGTCAGGATGAAACGACGTAAAGGCCAGTTTGCTGGAAGGGCAGACTTTGGTGATGGTTCATGTTCTTCTGCACCATGCGGCTCCACAGCCAATGGCGAGGATGATCATATCCGAGAAACGCAGTGAGTTAGTTGTCAACTGTGTGTATGTGCAAGTCGTGTTACATCAATTCCAGATACTTGAAGCGGCTGCCTGTATATATTGTGCACTGATGTTGGTTTGCCCTTCTAGTTGCCAAAATTGTGGCATCAGCTCAAGGCTTACTCCAGCAATGCGTCGTGGGCCAGCTGGTCCAAGGTCCCTCTGTAATGCCTGTGGCCTAATGTGGGCAAACAAGGTAATTTCCTCACTTTATGAACACTGCTGCCTGTTTTGTTCACTCCTTTTCTCTTGAATATGTTTCTTTGTTTACGAGTAGGCTAAATAACTATTGATGTTATGGTCCATACTAACACAATTGCTGTAACTAAATCACCCAAAAAAAACTCAGGGCACCCTAAGAAGTCCTTTGAATGCCCCCAAAATGACTGTGCAGCATCCTGCTGATCTGAGTAAAACGGTGCGTTATGCCTGTAATATAAACTTGGTTTACCTGAACATTACACTTTTGATTTATTTGTGCTTCTCATTGTACAGGGTGATACAGATGACAGCAAAGCAAATCTGTGTGCTGAGCATAATCAAACCACTATGAAAACTGACACTGAGATGTAAGCAGTCCATGTTTACTGCATCTTGATCAAATGCAATCATGCAAACTAACAAGTGCACTCTAAACACAAGCCTAAGCTTGGAACATACAGAATACTCATGGTCAGGTTTTAAGTGAAAATTTTCGGCAGGCTTTACAGCTTTACTGCTGAAAATGCTGCCTAAATAACTTCTTTGACTATAGATAAGTTTCTCAAAACACAACTACTTGACCATCTAATCTAGTTTCTTCGTCAGGGTGCCAGAGCAGGAGCAGAAGGCAGACGTGTTGCCACCAACCAAAGAAGAAGATAGCATGGCTACCTCGTGACAAAATGTTCAGACGCTTGTGTATAATTGATACGTAGGTTATTTTTCAGGAACTCCTGACTTTAGGATGGTACATAAGGCAACAGAACTAACAAAGATCAGCTCCGTTGCGAACGATGCAGACGCATCGGCGCGCCATATTTATCAAATCCATGTGTTGTTGTACACCCTACCCACTCATTCTGTACGATTTGAACACAGATCTGAGTAATACAATCCGTTTTGATCGGTTGTCAACTATAGTAATTTCTGACTTACAAACAAGTTTCATTCTGGCTACTTCGAAACTGTTGCCAAATTTCATTCTGCTCAATATTTATAGTGTGATCTAAGCAACGACAAATAACTGTTATCAAGGTATGATTTTTGTACTTGGTCAATTCTATTCCTAGCGGTCAAAAATATGAGAAATAAAAAGCGATGAAACCCCCCTAAAGATTTCAAGAATTAAAGTTCGAAAATTCTAAATGGACCAAGAAAACATGAATTCTACCGTGTGGCATTTTCAAGTTCCTTAGTGTGCGTGTGAGCCTTTAGCTCGAGTTTGTAATGCTCTTGTAACACCCTAAAAATTCACTGACAAAATCGAAACCCTAAAAATACGGACCTTCAAAAACTTTTTAAATAAATTGCATCATGCCGGTTTTATTTGCCTATTTTATTTGGATTTGATTTCGGAGTTCATTGATCGTGAGTAAAGAATAATCAATTAGGAATAAACCCGAAAAATAAATTTGCAAAATAAATAATTGAAATATAATTTAAAATAAAGATTAGGCGAGGATAGGAATAAATAAAATACTATCGCGACCATATTGGTAATAATTAAATTTAAGTGCGATGGAATAAGAATTAGCCCTAATTAAAATTCAAATAAATTATATAAAAATAAAATATGGGCAATATTAATCTAGGATGAATCCATTGGTTGAAATAACACAAATATTGAGTAAACTTCATTTGTCCAAAAATTAGGATTTATAGAATAAAATTTATATAGGGAATAGGCTAAATTAGGGTTAAATAGGAGCTAGCACTGTTCATTGCGCAGGAGGTGCTCGACGAGGTCCCCTAGCCCTGCCCCCTCCTTTGCCGTACGCGCCTAGCCACCCCGAGCTCCGCGCCACCGTAGCCATCGCGTCCCCTCGCGCGTCGCGCGCCTGTCGCCTCGAGCCGCCGCGCGCCGTCGCCATCGCCGCTGCCGCGCCGCGCCGCCGTCCCGTCGCCGCGTCGCGCGCCTGCCGCGTTGCGCCCCGCGCCCCTGCCGCGTGCCGTCGCCCTCGCGCCCCGCGCGCCACGTGCCGTCGCATCGCCACCCATCGTCCTCGCGCCTGCGCCCCGCCGCGCGGCCGTCCAGTCGCCGTCGCCTTGCGCCGCTGCCGCGCCACCCGTCCCATCGCGCCGAGCCCCGTGCCGCCGCGCTTGTTGCGTCGCCCCGCCTGTCATGCCGCGCGCCGCCCGCCCGTTGCGTCGCCGCCCCGAGCCCCGCACCGCCGTGCCGTCGCGTCGCCGTCACCCCGAGCCCCGTGCGCCACCGTCACGTCGCTATTAAGCCGGCCACCCCCTCTCCTTCTTCCCCCTCTCCCTTATAAATACCCCCACCCCTCCCCATTTCTTCCCACCCCATTCCCCTCTTCCTCTCCACCGTGCCGCCGCCTTCGTGTCGCCGCGCCGTCGCTGCTGTGACGCCGCGCTGCGGTGTGTGCCGCGCCGGAGCGCCGCCTCCTCGCGCCATTGCCGCGTCGCCGTCGGTAAGCCGCCACCCCTCCCCTCGTTTCGGTCTCCGTCGTTGCCTGGGAAGGAAGAGAGCCGAGAGAGAAAAAAGAGAGAAAAAGAAAGAGGAAGAGAGCGGAGAGAAGAAGAAAGAAAAGAAAAATAGAAAAGAAGAAAAGGAAAACTAAAAAGAAATTAGGGGAGAAGTTAACAAGGTTTAGAAATTTAAAATAATTAGAATTTAATTGTAGATTATTTGTAGTCGTAGAATTGCAAAATTTTATAGAAAATTATAGAATATTTTGGTAATCTCTATAAGTAATCAATTTGTGGTAGAAATTTAGATTTATCTAAGAGCTAGATAATTGTGTTGAATTCTTAGGAATGTACTTATAAAACACAAAATATCTTAGGTTGAGTAGATTAAAATAGGGATAGTCCTATTTCGCGAGCAATGTAGTTGATATAGAATTCGCCTCTCGCGCTCGCTTTTCGATTTGGTCTTTATTGGATTTTATTAGAATGGAATTCAAATCAATTCTTCACACGTACTTTTAGACCCCGAGGGAATTGCGGATCCGAGCGAGGATCAGGACCCGCAAGACTATGAGCAAGGCAAGTCATCACTATTCTTTGAACATGTTGATCCCAATTGCGAAATTATTTTGTTTACAAATAAAACTGCATGCAATGATGAAAATCCTACTTGTGATTATGCCATGCCTTGATTATTGTTTATCCCTTATTCCTTCGTAACCATGTTTACGTATGAAGTCCCTAGTCAATTATGACAAATGCTTAGAAATGCTATTATAGAATCATGCATACTCATATTTATCAAATGCTTTATGCTTGGGCAATTACCTTTGGGAAGATAATTGAGATGCGGCATGTGGAGACATGAGCACCACATTGCCATGATATTGATGACATGATTTGTGAAAGGAAAATAAAATTTAACAACTATTTTCGACTGGGGCGGACGAAGGATTTGGGTGGTATCTGGAAAAGGCTAGTACCGTCCCCGGTCAATTGAGGACCGAGCCATGAAGTTAAGCATGAAACGACCCCCGTACAACCGTACTTCTCGAATGGGTATAGACCTAGCGGATTAGATAGCCGAGCGGAGGCAGTATCCTTGCATAGATGGTTCACCCCTGAGTGAGGCAGGTGCGCTACCGTGGGGCAGCCGTTGAGGTAGGGCCGCGTGGCGTGCTCCTACATCGGTGTCGCCATTGGTAGGACTGTCATGAGTGTGTGTGAGAGATAACTTAACTTGAACCATAATTTAATATGTGTGTGAGACTTCTCTTTCCCGGGAGCGCCAGAACCCCTCTCACTGCTAGAAACATGGACGCCTAGAGTGCATGAGGATTTAAGTTCATGGAGCGGGTACTGCCAATGCGAGTTTATCGAAAAGCTTTACCATGACGCGTCTCATGTGTTGGGACGAGGCTCATGTGTTGGGCAGTCGCGAAGTACAGGTAAAGTGTACATCCACTGCAGTGTGAGTAAACCAAATCTATTCGAATAGCCATGCTCGCGGTTATTGAGCACCGGGACATGTATTACACTTGGCTAGACTCTAAATTCTTAACTTGTGTGGGATGGAATATTGCATGATGATTTTTATGCTGATGGAGCCACTTCCTGAGAGGAGGGAAGGTGGACGTCCTCAGAAAACCATGACGATTCAATGGCGGAAAGCTATCCTTGGGATCACAATGGATGGTGGACAGAACCGTCGTTGTTTAATGTGAACACTGGTACTAAAATTTGATCAGTCTATGCTAGGTCTTAGGCTTGTGAAAAGAATTACAAAGCTTGCTTTGCGCAAAAGAACCATAGCCATCCCTTGAATACCCCTATCATGTGCATTGTTGCTGTGGTGGCTTGCTGAGTACGGTTGGTACTCACCCTTGCAATATACAAACTTAATCAGAGGTCGGAGATGAAGCTTCGGAGGATCCCTACGCTTACTACCAGGAGGGTGATGAAGATGATGGCGCTCAGTAGGTCTTAGTTACGGTCGTTGCCTGTGGCAATGGCGTGCCTCTGCCTTAACTCCACTGCCTTATCTACTTCTGCTTTTGGAATGTATTCTAGACCATTCGGTCCTATGTTCTAAGACTATGCATGCGGGCCTATGATGTAATAATGCGCACTAGACTCTCGTGTATGAGCCCTTGGTATTTCAGCTATGAACTCGTGTGTACCAGACTACTTAATCCAGGGAAATTGTACTATTCACACGATTGATTCCTGTTATAAAAACGGGGGTCCACAACTCTTGAAGTTTAGAGCTTATTCAGATTGTAGCCAAAATAAACCTTACCAAAATTTGACATTGCCAAAATTTTTACAAGATGGCAATATTGCCAAAATTTTAGCAAGATTTCTTATGTATTTACTAAATTTGGCAACAAACTAAACGTAGACATTTTTTTGATAACTTTGCCAAAAAATGATATAAAAGTGAACAGACCCTTAATATATCTCAGTCTTTCCACGCAAAAAAACAAAAGGAAAATTCTAAATGGACCAAGAAAACATGAGTTCTAGAAGATTCGAGAAGAACTGAAGAAGCAACAAGAGAGATACTGCCAAGAGCTGGGCCGGCTAATATGGCGGCCCATGACGTAGAGGCATTCGGCCCATCCCTAATTCAGCGCAGCCACGCAGGCGGAGGTCGCGGAGGCGTCGAGTCGACCGAAGCTGTGGCCGCCGCTCCCGAGCAAGAGAAGCGGAAGAAGGAAGTCCACCGCGCGAAACGCCGGAGATGCCGCCGGGGGCCTCGCCGGCGGCGTCGGCGGAGGCCTGGACGTGGGAGAACGCCGCCGCAGGAGCGGCCGCCGGCTTCGCCACCGTCGCGACCCTCCACCCGCTCGACGTCGTCCGCACCCGTTTCCAAGGTAAACCCAACCCCCCACGGGCGTTCGAACCCTAGGAGGAGACGCGGGAGGCCTGGTCGGTAACCCTGCGTCTGCGTGTGGATGTGCAGTGAGCGGCGGGAGGGGATGCTACGACTTGCCGCCGTACAGGAACACTGCGCACGCTGTGTACACCATCGCGCGATCTGAGGTGTGGATTCCTGTTGCATATCGTTCTGTTCGGTTGGTGGGATGCATTAGAGTCGCGGTCCATCTTTAGGTTTGTCGATGTTAACAATTTTTTTCCAGGTTTATTTGTTCGCTTAGTGAAAAGAAAATTGCTGGTTCCCACAAAACCGGAAACAACTTGCCCATATATGAGTCAGATTACTTAATGTTCTTTAGAAATATTCTAACCAGGTTGAAAAATGTAGTTTCACTTTAAAAATAAACTCTACGTTGTTGAGCTTGTGCTTGAATACGTTTGTAGAGAGCAGATATTACATATGTACATATATACAATAATGTGAATTGTGAAACTTTGAGTATGAGCAAATCAAATGGTGGTCTTCTTTGGTTGAGATGTATAGATGTTTGTGTTTAAAGAACTCTTGCTTGTTAATAACTAGCAGTTCTACATGGATATGTTCACTTTCAAAATGTTCTCTGATAGCGCTTGCGGGTATAGGTTCCTAGTATGAGGTTAAAATGCGGTGGAAGGTTGCTAGGTTGAGACATCGTCTACTTAAAAGGTTGAGATGTTACAGTCTCCTTAAAATACTAAATGATGGAAATCCCTATTGCTATCACTTGGTATCTGTGAACTGTTGTAAGAATTGAAAGAATGTGGTTCTTTCGCTTCTAAGTTTTTGGTATGCGAAGTTGAGCTTCACTGATTGAGTTGGCTATTTGTAGGGTCTGAGAGGACTTTATGCGGGATTTTATCCAGCAGTTCTTGGATCAACTGTTTCCTGGGGGCTATATTTCTTTTTGTAAGTTATATAAATTCGTTTTATTTGAATAATTATAGTGTAGTAAGATAATGATCTGTCTGTATCTTAAATGCTGAAGTTAATTGCATATTTCAGGATTTAAGTTCACTTGGTTCTCCTATCTAATTATTTCATCTTGCTGGGTGCTGACTCCAATTTGGACGATCCTTGTTTACCCATTTGAATTCTCTTTACTATATTACCTGCATTTTGGCTGACTTGAAGATCTATTATGACAGTTATAACAGAGCTAAACAAAGATACTTACAAGGGAAAGATGATCAGCTCCGTCCAGTTCACCATCTTGTCTCAGCTGCAGAAGCAGGTGCTTTGGTTCGTACAGTAACTTTTGTCCTTTCAAGAAAAATGTTAATATCATTGGATTATATCTAAGATAAATTTACTGAATGTTGAGCAAGATCTTAGCGTCACTATTATTAAGTTATTTAAAGTTTAAATTCAATTGGTGGTGCTCTTATGGCATGCATAACCTTAGCATTTTTTTCAAATTACTAACATTTGTTAATGTTATTACTTATCACTTAATACTTATGTCGTATTTTGTTATTTAAACATTATTTGTTCATTATACAGGTTTGCCTATTCACAAACCCTATATGGCTGGTTAAAACAAGACTGCAATTACAAACGCCTAGTCATCATACTTCACGATATTCTGGATTTTCTGGTAATGTTTGCTTTCTTCAATGCTTCTCTGGTAAAGAAGTACTCGTAGTTATGCTCAAGGTTTATAACAGTGTGGTTGGCAAGTGTAAATTCCAATAATATTACATCAAATAATGAATTATGCCCCGTGCTCATCCTCAGCTCTCGCAGAAGCTGCTGTTTTGAAGCAATTATTCAAACCCAATGAAATTCTTTCCACTAATGACTGATGCGTCTTGTTGTTGTTTTTGGTCTCAATTGTTGTTCATATTTCCTTTGCTAAATATTTTATCTTAATTTTGTATGACTTTGCTTATTTGATCGCTGTAAGGCCAGATGCTTTGAGAACTATTCTGAAAGAGGAGGGATGGCTTGCGCTTTACAGAGGGATTGGACCTGGGCTTTTGCTGGTATGTGTTTTTTTCCTGTTGTTTATTCATCTTTACGTTATAGTCCTACAAACATACTCATGATTATAACCACACAAGGCTTAGTGTAATTTTAAATATGGAAGGGCAGTTGAGTGTAGTGTTTCTTTGGTGTGTGGTACATAGCTATGAAATTATGTTTCTAAACAAAGTGCTGAATTTATTATTAACAGTCATTGTGGTATGAATTCGATAATTTTGGTGCAAAACTGCACCTAAATATCATCCTCAGTTTTTTTGTCTGATGATTGATTGATCTAATTTATCTGTAAATACTCTAGGTAATATCATCTTGTGATGCTGTTAACTGGATGATATGTTTTTGTAACTGTAGTGTTGTACCATGTTTAGTTATGTGTTTTTCTCACTGCTACCATGATGTGAACATCGTGATGCTTGGTATGCCAGTCAATATCACAATTCCTCGGTTTTGCTGGAAATTCTCTTCGCTTGTATTCCTTAATGAATTCCCAGGGCTTTTACCATTACATATTTTTAAACTGCCAAACTAGGGTTGATGCCTATGGTCATTTTAATTAACCAGGATCTGACATGGTTGGCAAATCTAATACATTACTTGATGCTATCTATTGTTTCATGCATGAAAGGTTACTCATGGAGCGATACAGTTCACGGCCTATGAGGAACTTCGCAAAGCTTTGATATTTGCCAAAAGTAGACAGACAAGAACAGACAACAGAAGCTGCGATGATTCCTTGGTAAATACTGATCAAATGTTTGCTTGTGCTTTACACATCTACCCTCGTTGGTGCAATAACGGAGCACTACTGTCAACCTTAATTTAGTTCTGAACTTTAATTTCTTTTAATAAAAAACTGGGATTCAGATACTAATTCTGATTACCCATTCGTGGCACTGTATACATTTTGCATATCCTTACTCTTATACTGATTGTCACTTGCCTTTTAACAGTTGGGTCACCATATAGAAATGGAATTTAAAATTAATCAAAATGTTAGTGTTTTACAGTGTTATTTTTAGAAATTGCACTTTCAGACAGGTGCAATGCACTCGTTCACTCAGAAAGACAAATTTTTAGAACATTTTGTCCCACTTATCTCTATGTCAAAAATTGAAAATACATCCTCATCTGGTAGATAGATTCATACTGCACCTGATATGCACTGATTTCGTTCTTGACAGAATTCCATTGATTATGCGGCACTTGGGGCTGGTTCGAAAGTAACTGCCATTCTGCTTACTTATCCTTACCAGGCATATTCTTTCACTCTTCTTATTCTCATAAACTCACCCGTATATCCTGATTTTTTACTGAACCTAACAGCTGAAAGTCATCGTATTTTGCAGGTCATCCGAGCACGCTTGCAGGTTGCATATTTGAATCTTCTTACTCCCATTCCATCTCTCTAGAGTCCTCATCAATAATAATTATGTGTAATTTTGCAGCAACGACCTGGTAGTGATGGCACTCCAAAGTACAAAGATAGCTGGCATGTAGTGAAAGAAACTGCAAGGTGATAATTTTACTATTAACGTTAACACAGATGGAACCTTTTCTTTTCTATTGTGCTGTATGCAACAGTTAGAATTGCAGAGTTGAAGTTGTATACAGTAGATGGGATTTCTGTGGGTTTTTTACCTCCCCCCCCCCCCCCAACACACACACACACACAGATATGCCTAATCTCTATGCTATTTCCAATCTGTGCACACCAAATATTAGAATTTGTAGCTCAGATGTCTGCTACATAGTTTAAAATTAAAGTAGACTATATGCGATTTTTTTTCTGAATTCCTTTTCTGGTCTTCTCCTGCACATAACCAGTGCTTTGACTGTAACATGTTCCAAACCAAGTATCCCTGCTCTTTGGATTGACAAATTCGTTTTCAGGCATGAAGGTGTCCGTGGATTTTACAGGGGCATCACATCGAATCTGCTCAAAAACCTTCCGGCAGCTTCCCTTACATTTGTGGTGTATGAAAATGTGATCAAATTATTCAAAGCAGCAAAGGAGAAGACATAATATTTCCAATTGTTCCCAGGAGAAACAAGAAAAGAATGTGCGTCATGAAATACTGAGCCAATCCCACCTTCTGGAGTTCGAAGCAACATTCATCTTCATTGCTGCGTTATTGTCTCATCCACTTAACATGCACAGGCTAGAGAAATGTTACATGAGAGAAGTTGCGATTGACATAATCGCCGTAGATTTTGTTTTGAGGAACATAGATCAGTTTTTGTTTCTTCCTGAAGTAGTTCTTCCTGTAGTCCAGTTGAATACAGTTTTTGGATCCTTATGTAATCGGGAGCCTTTACAGGTCTACCCATGTGCATGTGTACATCCACCATGTCTACGGCTGCTCAACTGAGTTACAACAGTTGTATAAAACTGAAGTAATGCCAGACAAAATTACACCATATGTTATTATGTTCCAAATGTTATGCTACATGTTCCCAGTCGGAAGGAAACTGTACTCGGAGTTTGACACGTCTGATGGCATAATGGTATGTACTCTCTGTTTTCTAAATCGATAATGTCATTGACTTAGGGCTGGTTTTGTTTGGAGCTAATTTTTGCCCTACTAAAATAATCTTGGTAGTGCTAAAACCTTGACAAGTTTTGCCATTACCAAATTGGGTAGTATTGAATGTGAACTATTGTGGGGTAGTAAATCAAACATGCATTTGCTACTATTGAAGTTACCACAAATTTGGTAGGGCAATAAATTGGTATCAAACTAAACAAATTTTTACATATGTTTGATCATTTGTCTTATTTAATTATGATCATTTATCTTATTCAAAAATTGGTGCAAACATAAAGTTATAACAAAATAAATGATAACAATTACATAAATTCAAAAAAAATCAAGTATATTATTTATTTTTTAAAAAAATTGACGTAGTATGAACCCGTTTGATAAAGCTTCAAATCCTATATTTAACTCCAGAAATTAAGTTCGGAAGTAAAATTGTTTTTTTTGCCGGAATGACCGAAGGAGGTCATTCAATGTAATTAAGATAGGAAGAAAAAGTTACAAGAAAAGTTTTATGCACCAGAGCACACGCCTCGAACCATGTGCCAACCGCCCAAACACACGCTACAGAGAGGGAAGCTAAGCATCGAACCGACCATCGCTATGCGAGACCGATCGCCACTGGGCCAATAATACCACCACGACACGAAGACTCTAAAACAACGCCCTCATGAGGGTCGCGACGCCAAAAGACGCCGTCATCATCCGTCCAAAATCCTGGACAAGGTTTTCACCTAGAGCTTCTTGCCGAGGGGGGAGGGGTACCTCAACAATGCCCTCAGGAGGGTTACCACGCTTGAAGGCGTAGCCATTGCTGGCCCAAAGAATTGGGCTAAGCTTTCGCTCGGAACCCTTTACCGCCGTGGTCCGTCTCTCCATCCGAATCCACCATCTAAACATCGGCGGCACATGGCTTCCACCACACCCGACCGACGCCCCTCTGCCGGTCATCCAGTCCTGCCAACGACAAGACTACCACCACACCACACCGACGCCCCTCCGTCAGCCGACTTCGTCGAACCGCCATCCCTAAGAGCTGGCCCAGGACCCTTCCGTTCCACCACCCGCCGGCCACCTCGCCAGATCTAGCTGAAGGAGAACCCGGGATTGGGTGGCACTGCTTCGGTACCCTAAGCTTCCCCCGTTAACGAGCAGCCACCTCAATCCAATCTAGAAACTCCCCGCAAAGAAGGGGAGGAGCTCTAGGAAGGGTGAGGGTGCCGACCGGCAACGAGGAAGATGACTCACCGCCGCCAGCTCCCTTTGCACTGCCATCTGACCACCAACGCCCCCGTAGCCCGGCTGCCGCGCCTCGCCTTGCCACCGGGGCGGCATTAGCAAAATGGAGCAGGAGGCCGCACGCCGGCAATAGCACCCATGGTGTGCACATGGCGGGCGTGCCCTGCTGCGGCCGGGAAGGACAAGCAGCAGAGGGCTAGGGCGCCACCCCTAGCCGCCGAAGACACGGCCGCCGCGCCCCAGGCTGCTCGCCGAGCCGCCGCTGCCGCCCCCAGCTGCCTTCCGCCGAGCCGCCGCCTCTGCTTCCGGGCCAGCCAACCTTTTGTGAAGCAGTCTAAATTCAGCTCCTCAAAATTTTGTTCATTCTTATTTTAGATGCAGCTCTTGTATAGCTGAGCCGTGGCAAGCAGACCCAACACCTGAGTGCCCTCTTCCAATCCCGCCACTGAAACAGGCCCGCGGCAAGCGTTCTCATCTGCCGGCCGCGCAATCGTCGGCGAACGTCATACCGGCCGAGAAGTAGTAGTACTCCGTATTAGATATGCAGGGGACGAATTGCCCCCCGGCGGATTGAGCAAGCGGCGCCGGCGATCGCGTTCCAACAGATCGAGAAGGTCACTGACCAGTCCACTAATCCAGCCAGACGACCCGTCAATTAATCCAGAGAACACGGACTGCGTCAGTCAGACACACCGCCACAGACGCGGCTCACGCCACCCTTCCCTCTATGGCCCCGTCACGTTCTCCGCCTTTTCCTTTCACACCCTCCTCGATCGGTCGCCCGGCCACGGGCGGGCCACGGCCACCGAGCGGTGAAAAGGGGCAGCAAACGCACGCTTCCCACCCCGCCGTTTTTACGTGGTCGCCGCGCAACACCACCGACGACGACGTCAACCCGCACCCACCGGGGGCTCGTTCCACACGCGCGCGCAAGCGCAACCACCGCTACCAACTGCCTCCTTCCGCTGAGGCGCTGACCGAGAGAGACAAATGGGGCACGTTTAAACTCAAGTCTCGCCTTCTTCTTCCCACCCACGCCAACGAAAAGCCCAGCAACCACCACGAAACCCACGCGAAACACACGCCCTCCCCGCCAAGTCAGCTCTCCTCTCCCAACCGTATATAACCCCCGCTTCCCCTTCCCCAGGAGAAATCCACCCATTCCGCCGCCTCCTCGCAGCTCGGAGAATTTTTTTTTTCGAGAATTCGATCGAGAGCGAGCCACGCTTGCGTGCTTTGGAAGAAAATCATATATCAAGCAGCAGCAGCAGCTGTCGGAGATGTCGCGGTACGTGGAGTTGCTGGACATGGGGGTGCGCGTCGCGGCGAGGTTCCACTCCCACTGCCCGCAGACGGCGCGCATGTACTACAAGCCGCCGCAGACGACGACGACGGCCGACGGCCGCCGCCGCCGCGGGGACGGCGCTGCGGGCAAGCAGGCGGCGGCCGGCTTCGACGCGGTCTCGTCCGCCACGGCGGCGCGCCCGTTCGCGGCGGCGGGAGAGGAACTCGGCGGCTTCCGCGCCACCGCGCCGTCGGGGTTTGACTTCGAGTTCGACACCGCGCAGGCCGTCGTCTACGACGTCGTCGCGTGAGCTAGGAGGAATCGATCGATCGACCTTAGCTTCTGCTCGGAGAGGATTGTTTTTTTTCTCCGGGAACAATTTTTGACACAAGAGGGGAATTTGATTCCGTGAAGTGTATATATGTACACTCCATTCTTTTATTTGATTGAGATTTGATAGCTGAAATTAATGAAAGAAACATTATTTGGTTCATGCTTCTCCAATTTTTTTACGTATACAACTACTGTTTCGTACCATCAAGCAGGGTTTACGATTTCAAGATTGCCTTCCGTTTCGAGTTCTGCCGGAATGATGTTTTCGTGAAATCTGATGGAAAGCCGGTAGATTCTGAATAAATTTTATAAACCAAAATTTGAATACAAATTCTTTGAGTTCACCGATAAGCTCGCGAAAACCAGTCGGCTTTGGTGAAATTCCGAGCGAAATCATCGAAATTTCAATCGGTAACTAGAAAAGGAGGTGAACTGAATTTTTTTTTCGTTTTTTTCAATTCGTTATTCTTTTCTTTCCTACTATAAATTTCAGTGAATGCACGAAATACATCAATTTTTTCGAAAATTTATATCCCAATAGGTTCGCGTACTATTTATAAGATTTTATTTGATTTTTCCTTTTTTGCCAATTCAAATTTGAATTTGGATGAGCCTCGTCGAAACCTTGAAATTTTGCGGAATTCAACTGGTTTTCGTCGGAATTGTTAACCCTGCCAGCAACAGCAAGCCCCCTCGATATTGTTTTTGACGTATATGACATTTTTCTCGGAAAACGGAAGTGGCGAAGAAGGTTCTAAAGTTAACCTCGGATCAATTTCTAAAATTTAAATCCACTTCATCTCCAAAGCCGAGCATTCAAATGAATAACAAATTAACAATATTCATATGTATAATAGATCTTATTTGACTTGGGCCATATTGAAACGAAGCTTTCTTCACACGAATCTAGAAGAAAACAGCTCAGTCCCAACCGGAATGACAGAGTTTTCCTCATCATAATGGGGCTAAATATCCAAAATCCGCCTTCTGGTGTTGTTTGCGGAAAAAACAAAAATACTCCTTCAACATTGAAACGTGCAAACTCCCTCCTCTTCTTCTCCAGTAGGCACACCACTGCATCACCCCTCTCTCTCCTCCCAAAACCCTAACAATGGCTTCCCGCCTCCTCCACCTCCGCCGCCTCCTCCCCTCCGCCCGCCCGTCCGCCGGCGGCGGCGGCGGCGGCGGCGGTGCGGTCGCCGCCTTCTCAACCGTAACCCCGACCCCGCGCGTCTCCGCGCTCGTAGACGAGATCTGCGGCCTCACCCTCATCGAGGCCTCCTCCCTCACCGACGCCCTCCGCGGCCGCCTCGGCGTCGACCAGCTCCCTCCGCTGGCCATCCTCACCGGCGGCGCGGCCCCGCTCGCTGGCGGCGGGGCGGCCACCGGGGCGGCCGGCGAGGAGGCGAAGGCGAAGGAGGAGAAGATGGCGTTCGACGTGAAGCTGGAGGGCTTCGACGCCGCCGCGAAGCTCAAGATCATCAAAGAGCTGAGGGCGTTCACGAATCTGGGCCTCAAGGAGGCGAAGGAGCTCGTGGAGAAGGCGCCGGCCGTGCTGAAGGCGGGAGTCCCCAAGGAGGAGGCGGAGAGCATCGCCGAGAAGATGCGAGCTATTGGCGCCAAGATTGTTCTCGAATGAGAGCACGAGAGCTATGTATGGCTTCGTTTCTTGATTTGTTTCTGTTTCTTGTATGAAGTAAAAGAGAGAATTTTGAGACCTAGGAATCAATAATTAACGAAATTCACTATGGGGATTTTCTCATTTGTTAGTGGAAATTCCTTTTGAACCTTGGAGTTTTGAGCTATGTGTTCATAGGCTCAGTACAGTACCAGAGCTTTGAGCTCTGTCTCTTGACTGTCTGTTTGATTGTACGGCAAAGATATCTTTTTAATGAAAGCAGAGCAAACTAGCGGATTAACAGTGGGTTTCTATCTTATCAAATGTAGCGATAATGCTTTTTTTGGGGGGATCATATACTGGTAAAAATGGTCTTTCACTTATCAGTATATGTATCAGTAATGGAAAGGATGTTTCTTGAAGAGAGGATATCGATGATGCAGTTTTAAATTGTTGCAGTTGTGGTGAAAAGACATGGAGTTTGGGTAGCTCTTTTGCAAATTAGGATATGTGAAGTTGCAATCAGGGGAAGTGTGGTTTTTAAGAATTTTTATCATTTAGCACAGTGTTATTATTTGAACTAGAATCAGGGGATGTCATGGACATTGGCCGAGCTACCAATGTCATGGAAATTAGTATATGTATCAGGGGATGTCATGGACATTGGCCGAGCCATGACAGGGGAAGAACTTATATCATTTCACACAGTGTTACTATTTGAGCTAGAACATAGGTTTTCATCTAGAGGGTAGTTGGTTGAAACAATTGTTTGAGTGCTTTAATGTACTCCATAGTTTATAATACTTATGAAATGTATCATCTGGGAATATGGTGCAAGCAGTAGCCAGTAGGGGAATTATGTAGCCTTCATTCTTCAAATAGTTTATATTAGAATAGTCTGTCTACCTCTTGCATCTTTGCATTCAGGCAGTTGCATATTTTGTCAGGTCACAAGATGGCACCAAACCCATCTTTACTTAAGCCCCGAAAGAATCACTCAGTTCTGTGAAATCTCCGAGTTTGTATGTGGCGTGAATACACAAAATAGATAAGTGTCATGCAGTTTTTTTGTGGACAAAGAAATGGAAACTCTTTACTTGCAATTATTATTGATGCTCACTGCGTACAGCGTACATATGATAAGCTTCATTAGAGTGCCTACAAATGCAGTGTATATGGGCGGTCACAACATTTTTGTGTGTAAAGTTAGTGTACCACCAATTCTGAAGACACCACTTGTCATGCTTAAACTCTCACTCAACTGGACCTGATCATCTTTCATATAGGTTAGATAGCTGAATATTGATCAGATCTGTGTTAACTGTCATAATCTGACTAATGTTTTGATCTGATGGAAACATCCTTATTGTTTTACCATTTTTGACAAGATATGTTGATTTAATATACACACCTTTTTGCTTGTGAACATTTTTCAATGCATGGAAATGAACTGTAAAGTGAAATTCATCCTCTTGAGTTAAGCAACTGAAAGTTTAGCAATTCAAGGTGGGGAAAGAAACATCTTTTCAGTACTGTATCAGTTACATGATGTAGATATTTAAATTTAATCAAAGAATTGGATATTATTAAACAAACTAATTTCGGCGGTAATCACCATATGTGCCCATGTATGATACTCCTATATGTTTTGATTATGCTAGATGCATAATCAGTTAGAAACGCTTTACAATAATTTCGTTGAAGGAAAACTCTCTGGATTGTAGTTGTGTTTATACTAGTGCTGTGTGTTTTATCTGTTTCTTGTTTTGTAACAGTATGTTGTATTGCATAGCTTTGCCCTTTTGGGCGTCGGTAGAAAGATGATGATGATATTACACAATTGTGTTGAGACGTTAGTTCCTAGCATAATCAAATGTGGTGCAGTTCTGCCATTCATTATCTGCTTCCTATAAACTTAACTCTGCCACAACGCAGTGTGACTTTGCGTCTTATCTTCCGGTGAAAATGTGAATTCATAAACCAGAGGTAGCCACGAGAATTTTATTTTTTCCAATGGTATTATATATCACACCAGGGAGACATTTATTCTGCAGCAGTACAAATCTTCTCTGAACATGCAAGAACTGAAGAGACAGTTCCAGCCTTCCAGGGAGAATATTTATTCAGCAGCAAGTGACCATGCAAGAACTGAAGAAACAACAGCTCCTGACTTTCAAGTGCAGTTTATCACTTGCCCGTTGTTCAGGTAGAGGACGCAGCCTTTCTCGCCGGCGATGCAGCAGTTGCACGCCGGTTTCAGGTGCTGGCTTCCCGTCGACGGGCACGTCATGTACTCGAGGCCGTCGTAGCAGAACTGGGGGCAAAACTTCCCCCCTTGTGCCTCGGCGCTCTGTATGGATCCAATCACCATGAGTCCTGCAAGAATTTCAGAGAAATAACATCATCTGTGACGGGTTGAACGCGGGAGCGATGAGGAAGAACCGGAGGAAGAAGAAGATGATGATGAAGAGGTAGCTACCACACAGCAGGAGAGCCATTGGGAGAGCAAGCTTGATGGAAGCCATGGTGATCTGTCTGTTCAGTATGCTCGCTGCAAGGAGTACTGAAGCTTATATGGGCGGCTTGGTCAGAAATACCGGTTTTTTGGGGGAGAAATTTTTGTTTGGTGGGAGGGATATGGATTCAGAAATTTCAGCTCTCTCTTGCTTGTATTTTGTTCTCACATTTCTTCATTCTGACTTCAGACGTACTGATCCATTTTACAAGTTTGGAATCTGGATCCAAGATGGTCATGGTCAAATAAATCGTCTTCTATTTCCAACAGTAGCGGATAAAATTATTCGCTATACTGCGCTCAGTCGTCTTCTTGACGAAGCAGCAGTGAGGGGCCACCATCCTCTGCAGCATCCATTGCTTGTCCAAGAAATGCGTAAGCTAGAAGCAGCTAACGTGCCACCATTGCTGTCTCGCAATGCCATCCGCGGTTGGCAATGGCAGCACATGGTGGCAGCATCCGAAAATTCCTGTGTTAGGTCAGGATCTCTATCATGGTTGCCGAGCACGGTTTTTCGACGTTTTCGGTTCAGTTCGACCCGCAAATTCTTGATCAGACGGTTGGCGTGAACCCAACTAAGGGTCGGAGAATAATTCTCCGACGCGGCCTACAATGGCGCAGTTAGCAACGCCGTTGAGCGCAGGAGACCAATAGTATTTTCCGATGATCAACTAATTTTTACACATATTATCAGTAGTTGGCAGTAGAGGTATCGATGGTAAAACCTGGGTGATCGTCCGACCTGCTCGGGAGCTGTCTCCGCCACTGGCCTCCTGAACCACCGAGCCACTCAAGCGGTGCTCGTCGTCATTGCGAGAAGTCTACCACATTTCTTTTGAAAAACTAGCACGCATATCCGATCAAATCAAATGACCATTATCTAAAAAATTTAAGGTCTGATTAGGTTTGTTGCCTAAATATGTCTTACCAATATTTGATAATCTCAGTAGTATTTTGTATCTTTTGGATTTTGTAATCTCAATTTTGTATCTTTCAGATTGAAGCCAAATTTTGGTGAGCCTATAGAAAAAATATCCCAATTCTATAGTTAACTTAAGGCCTTATTTAGTTCCAAACTTTTTATTTAAACTTTCAACTTTTTCATCACATCAAAATTTTCCTACACACGTAAACTTTCAACTTTTCCGTTACATCATTTTAATTTTAACCAAACTTCAAATTTTAGCGTGAACTAAACACACCCTAAGACTACTTTTGGCTTCAATCCAAATTCCACACATAGCCCTTGTCTTTGTCAAAATTGGACACATCAAAACTTATCGAAATTTGAATTAGAAAAGATCATGCCAAAATTTTGGCCCCAAAACCAACCAGCTCTAAATTTTATTCTGAACCATGAACCGCAGTATTATTATCGGTGTGAAGTTGTATAACAACAGCTTGTGAGGTAAGCTGGCGCTACATTCGCTGAACAAGAAGCAAAGCTGCCGCGGCGGCGGCGGCGGCGAAGGCGACGCCGGCGAGGCTGGGGCAGCAGCAATTGTAGTACTAGTTTAGTTGGGCGCGCGACACTTGTAGGAGGAGCCGTCGTGGAGGTGGAGGACGCAGCGCTCGCCGTCGGTGGGCGCGCACAGGCAGACGCACCCGTCGAGCTTCTTCCCCGGGTAGTTCTTGCAGGTGATGTAGCCTCCCTGGATGCAGCGCACCGTCGAGCAGTCCGCCGCCGCCGCCGTCGCGGCCCCGGCCATCTCGCCGAGCACCACGAGCCCTGCATCGCGCGGCCGGCCAAGCAAATTAAACCGTCAGAGAAACACAGGCAGAGACGAATGCAAAAGCAGGTTGATGTACGGGTCGTGCTCACCGGCGAGGAGGAGGACGACGAAGGTGAGCGACAGCTTCTTGGATGATGAGGAGGAGGAAGCCATGTGTGCCCGTACGCGTCGTGTGTGAACTGCGATTTGAGTTTCACTTTCACAGGACAGTTCACCTGATGACTTATATGGAGGAGAAGTTGTGATCAGTGATCAGAAAGAGCGCTGAGACTGACCGGTTGAAAGTCGAAACTGATGAATATAAAGATTAAGTTTGTCGCATGTAAAACGAGTTAGCTAAGTTTTAACTATTACAAATTTAATAAATTGATATATCTAATATTTTAAAGTAATTTCTATATACAAGGATTTCACACGATAGTTTCAAAATTTTGCCAATAGAAATTGAGGTAAAATCCGAATTCTAATGGCAGCCGGCTTAGCCGCCGCTCTCTCTGACTATCGGTACCTTCTGGTGGTCGCTAGGCCGGGCTGGACGAAGGATCACGCGACATGATCGACGGTCATGTCGCCACGTGCCGTTCTCTACAGTTCTCTGCTATACGTCGCCTCGTCTGCGTGTGGTGTTCTGAACGGCTAGCTGAACACGTAGTACGTACGTACGAAAGTCCAGCAGAATTCGCATTGATCTTCAATTCTTCATTAGCAGTGGAAAGTTGTTGCTCGAATGGTAATGTAGGTCTAATCCGGCATGCATCCACTAGAGTAAAGCTGATTATCCTTTAATTTGCATCCACGAGATATCGGCATCATGTAACAACGGGTTTGACGATCACTCAAAAGTCAGTCCAGCTTGGTGGGGTTCACACACAAAAGTCATGACACACTCACACACAGTCACACACTCATACACTGTATACAACAGCGACACACAATATATCCATTTATTCCATTATTCAACAACCAAATTTATCCCATCTCACGAACACGAACACAAGAATTACATAGTAACACACACATCAACAGTAGTAGAGAATTAATTCTGGAAATGGATCATCATCGATCTGATCACATCTCCCCGGTTACTTAAGTTAACTAGGCTTAGTTAGGCCTGAGGCGGGCAGTTGGAGGGCGGGCCGTGCTCGAGGTGGAGGACGCAGTTCTGGCCGTCCTTGGGCGCGCACTCGCAGGCGCAGCCGTCCAGCTTCTGGTACGGGTAGTTGTCGCAGGTGATGTAGCCTCCCTGGATGCACACCACCGAGCACCTCGCCTCCTCCGCGCCGCCCATGGCGCTCATCACCACCACCGCTGCTCTCATACCAAAAGAGCAAAGAAAGAAAAGGTTGGATTCAGAAACGATCCGGGGGTGACTGGTTTAGTGGCGGATCTAATAAGAGATAGCAAAAAATCTACATCCCCTTTCCATCTACGTATAGCAAAAAATTTTAGTGAGGTTTTTTTTTAAGGTTTTCGTAAAACTCGCGTCAGTAGTGGGGACTCGAGACCCCACCGTTCCTGGATCCGCCCAGTAGTGGAGGAGTAGTACTTTGTTCATGGCTAGCCAGTAGCTTACCAGAGAGGAGGAAGACGACGGCGAGGGAGAGCTTCATGGATGCCATTCTTCTTTCTCTAGCTTCTTGTCTCTATTTGATCAATGTGCTATTTGTAGTTGTGTATTGATTTGATGCTCGTGATCCGCTGTACTCCATGTTATAGGGGGTTTGTATATATAGGGGGAAAGTAGGTAGAGGTTAGCAGCGAGCACGCATAGAATTCCATGTTTCCAGCAGTGCTCTCTGTGACGGCGAAAGGTCGTGATGTGCTCATGTGCAGCTACAATGCGTTACGTACGTTGCGGATCGGTTCAACAATTAAGAAGCGAAAGTTGTAACGTGCGCGTTCTACATGCCTATATATCTAGCTAATCATGTTGTAGATGCTAGTACGGAGGACGAAAATGTGAACATTTTATACTCTCTTCATTTCATACCGTAAGACGTTTTCATCTTTTTTTTAATCAACTTTTGTTAAATTTAGCTAATTTTATAGAAAAACATAAAAGTGTTTTCAAAACAAAATAAGCATACTATCAAAATATATATATTCAATGGTAGATTTGATGAACTAATTAATTTGGTGTTGTAGATGTTAAATCTTTCTATAAACACGATCAAATTTTCAAAGTGTTTTGCAATATAAAATGAAGGGAGCATTATCTTTACTGACACGCAAAAAGTTTTACTTGTCAAATACTACAGAACATGGTTAGCATTATCTTCAAAAGATTGCAGCTGATGCAACGCTGTATATGTTCTTCGTTCCGGCCGTGTCGTCATCTGTTATCCGCCTCCATTATTAGCAGCTAACACCACATATTTTTTTCTAGCTTGTCTTGGGCTTCAAGATCAGGTAAGGTCAGTAAGAAAGTCAAACACTGGTTTGTTTTAATCGTCAACATATTAAAATGTCTGGGTTGAAATTATTTTGTCTTGGTGTGTTTAGTTCACATTAAAATTGGAAGTTTGATTAAAATTAGAACGATGTGACGGAAAAATTGAAAGTTTATATGTGTAGAAAAGTTTTAATGTGATGAAAAAGTTAAAAGTTTGAAGAAAAAGTTAGTAACTAGACCAGGCCTTGGTAAACTACCTTATCCTGACATTGCTTCATTGCAAATCGGTTAACGATTCAAAGTTTCTGACCTGATTCCAATCACAAGGTTCACACTAGATCTCGGGAAATATTTGACTTCTGATTCTCTCCTGTACAAAAGTACAAATTGAGCTTTATCATATATAATTGTGCTATCAGATATGCTCATCGATTTCGTGATCTTTTGGGATTAATTTATTGACGTGCAAGCATTTGTATTCAAGATTACCTCAGTGAAACATAGATAAAAAAAAATGCCTTGTTTTCATACAGCCAGATAGCTAATCTGAACTCTGAACATACAGCAGTGTCCAATTCCCACTATTTATTTCTTCCAACTTCCAATTAAGAGCAAGTTTAATAGTATAGCCCACTGCTAGCTTCAATTTATCTATAGCCAATCTAATAATCAATTCATATAATAGTTGCTTACTATACTATTAATATATGGTCTTACATATCATACACACATTGCGTCTTGGAGTCCGCGCTGCAGCTGGCTACAAATCTGTAGTCCGTTACTCTTCTCTCTCATCTTTTATCTCATTAACATATGTTTATAGCTGGCTAATAGTCTGCTATTATATTTGCTCTAAGCATGATGGCATGCTTGACGCTCATTTTCTTTTTTTCTTTTGGAATTGAACATAATTATCAACCCAGCAATTATCTTAGGACTTGTTTAGATATGTGAGGATTAGATACAATCCCTTTCAATCAGCGGTGATCTTAGTTAATTCCAGTACATACTTTGGGATTGGGGCATAAACTTACCTACCCAAACAAGCATATTCCTTGTTACTGTTGTAGTCAAATTCAGATCACAATATTGACTTCTGTTTTTATAAAAAACAGATCATTGACTATAGGCACGATTGGACTCGAGATCGATAGCGGATATCAAACTTAACAAACTCCAATAAACTCTAAATTAATTTTACACACGTCTGGAGAACACGACGAATCTCTTTGTGCCTCGATCACATTTTGGCTTGTCCTTCAAGGGATTCGCTGCAAGATGACCTTAAAAGGATGTAACCAGTAAAGGAACCGAAAATGCATGTACGATCATGTCACCGTTTTATTTTCCTTAAAACCTTATCCCCAAGTCTGGTCAAAATAGTCTGAATTCCTCAATGAAACGATAGATATTGAAAATTTCAAGGGTTTGGGTTACATATTTTCCCACCAGCTTTCGACTCAAGATCGAATAATATCTTGTAACATTTGAGCCAAAGCCCAAAGTAGTACTCCATCTGAAACATAAATATTTAACGACATTCAACATAAAATTTGGTCAAACTTTAAAAATTTTAATATGTTGATGACGATTCGTGACAGCACATGGCCAGTATCTTGTGTGTTTATTCAATGGCTTTGTGCTGTTTTTCACATTACCGATCCATAGCACGTATAGCTGAAGGGACCCCATCAGGGCACGCTTACGCTGGTTTGTTCTAAGCTCGGCGGGCTAGGTACATAGGAGGTCGTTCAGCACGCGTATGCCTGTAGATTTATCTTGAAAAATACTAATATAATATGATAAACTTATTTGCTTACGCCGTAGATTTATTTAAATACAAAATTCATCGTTATAGTTTTAAAATTTTGACTAAATAATATTATAGAAGTTAAATATTTATGACCGAACATAGTACATATACAGAAGCTTGTCAAGCTGTGACACAAAGGAAGCAAGAGGCAGCCATGCAGGATTCCTCTTGATCGTTTTATTACAGCATTTGGGAATTTGGAGTTCCGAACACACCTTAAGGAGTGACACAAAGGAGGCACACGTATGGCCACACGACTCACACAGGTTTCGTGCAGCCACTTACTCCCCCCGTCCTAGAATATAAGAGTTTTTAGCTAGATGGAACACGTCCTAATACTACGAGTATATTCAGATTCGTAGTACTGAAATATATCGCATCCAATTAAAAGTCTTTATATTTTAGGACAGATGAAGTAATTCACATACAGTGACACACACAAGAACGTGCAAGTGGAAGAGCGACGACGACACCATCCTTTCCCTGCGTTTTCCGATCAGCACTGCTGCGTGGAGCCGTCGGCGAGATGGACGACGCAGTCGACGCCATCCGGCGGCGCGCATCTGCAGGCGCACCCGTAGAGCTGCTCGTATGGATGGTTGCTGCAGGTGATGTACGTCCCTTTAGCGCAGAACAGTGTGCAGACCGCTTCAGTGTGCTCGATCCTCTCCAGCATCACGAGGCCTAAAAAATTTCAGAAAGGGGTGAAAGATAGTATAGCTTTGCACTGACTGAACCAAATCTTAATACAAAGATGTGCAAGTCTTTAACGAAATTTTGGAGAGTTTAATTACCTGAGATTAGGAGGACACATGCGAGGGAGAGTTTGATGGAGGCCATGTGTGTTGCTGTGCAGTGTGTAGACTGCGCAGTGGGCACACTCAATGGCTCTATGTTTGAAATTCAAGCTACCCAGCCTGGGTTGATATAGAGGCTGAGAAGGTTTGACCTTCACTAGATGATACTACATTGTTATATTAGAAAACTTGCTTCGATAGATTTTTGGTGAAATGTTAACACCGACGGAGGGCGTAATTTCTTTTCACACCAAGATCGGCTTCAGATGAAGTAACCAAAGTGATCTTTTGGTGAAATTGGTAACTATCAATTTGTTGAATATTTGTCGAATATGAATGATAAAGACCAATCCTTACAATCTAAAGTCCCACTTTAAGTTTGATTGGTAAGGTGAGCTGTAAAAAAAAAAAGAGCATCTAAAAAGCTGCCGTAAGTTTTTTAGTAAAAAACTTCCAAATGTAACTATAGTCACTGTAACTACGTTATAACTCCGATAGAACTAATATAATACTTGCATTCAAGTATGGTTTGGTTAGTTAGCATAAAAATCTTACACGTAACATGTGTGAAAATTTTCTTTCTAGCAATTTGTTCCCTTCATGCACAAATCTCGAGACAATCCGATGGTCACAAATCTAAATGTTTTAGGGGGGGGGGAACTTATGGAAGTTTTCTAGCAAATCCGAAAAAAATTGAGAAAAGCTTTACTAAGCAGTGGCACAAGGAAGCAAAGACTGCAAGAGCCAGAAGCAGCTTCCTCTTGATCGTTATTACGAAAACCACCATCGATCATCATCGATCCTAACAGTTCTCATGGAGACACAGACACATACAAGAACAACTGAAACACAAGTGAAAGAACACCACAATGCCAATGCCAATGCCATCAGCACTTGCTCGTGGAGCCGTCGGCGTAGTGGACGACGCAGTCCTTGCCGCCCGGCGGTGCGCACTTGCAGGCGCACCCGTAGAGCGCCTCGCCTGGACGGTTGCAGCAGGTGATGTATGTTCCTCGCGCGCACAGCATGTTGCACGCTGCTGCTGCTGCTTCACTGCTTTCGATCTTCCCCAGCATCACGAGACCTAGCTAGTTCAGAAATTAAGCATTGCAGACCAAAAAAAAAAAGGTATCACAAGTTCAGTATGAGACTAGTACTACTGTGGCGCATTGCATGCAGTATATATGCTTTTAATTAATTACCCGAGATTAGGAGGACGAGTGTGAGGGAAAGCTTGATGGATCCGGCCATGTTTGGTTGATTGCTGCGGCAGTGTACAGTCCTAGCTATTAGCACACTCTCTGTGATTTGATCTAGCTCCAGCATCAAGATAGATAGTTTGGGTTGAGTTGATATAGAGAGAGATAGAGAAGGTTGAGCCTTCACTAGATGATACTACCACGTTGTTGGCAACAACTTGCTTCAATGTATAAGATTTTCGGTGAATTGTTAACGCACATCGAAGGAGGCGACGCGTTCCGCGTCTTCAGCGTCAGTGAAGTCAATGGTATAACGTTGTCTTGGTTGTCGATCTGCACCACCATCTTGCAGCGCGTAGCCAGATGATGGCCTTTGTGCAGCGTCGGAGATTAAAAAGAACTAGAAAATCAGCGCGCGTATTGGCGCGCTAGTTTGTATATAGCCCGTGTATATTATCCATAGCTTCATTAGAACATAGAAAAATTTGGATGATATTTAGATTTATTTTTGCCTTATTGTTGAATATTAAGATGAATCCAAATAGAAAAGTAATTTACACTTGTTAAAAAATTTGTTGGTTAATTTGTGGACGCGCTGTTTAGCTTTGACAAATGATTTCATATGCTATTAGGGAAAGAAAAGAAAATGTATGTTTACTAAAAAAATGGATTTCACCAAACCTGAGAGTTTTGCAAACAATTCATTAGAATTTTTATTGATGGTGGAAAATACATATCATAAAATACATTTATGGAGATTACAGTCCAATCAATTATGTTATTTTTTTCATAAATTTACTGTTTATAAATTGTAGTACGCCGTATTTATTTATATATTTTTACAAAATTATTTTTTGATTTTTTTACACTTTTCCTCTCCTTTTGTTTTACATGCTCTCTCTAATGGTGCAATGGTGCACCGCTAGCATATGAGCTGTGCAGGGCCACGTGGCAAGGCCCATGCACGGATTACTGGGCTCTACAGCCCAGCTAGGCACCACCGGTAGATAAAGTCTGGAACTGTTTTTTTCTCTGTTTTTTTTCGGCGTGATTGCATGACATATAGATCAATCGCGAATACGCTTGATTACCGCAGCCCACTCGCGCGTTTCGCTACATCGCTAAAAATTTACGGCGACACGTGGACCAATGGAATGTCGGCAAAAGTGCCGGCTTTAGATTAGTAGATTGATCACTGAACTCACACAGGAAATCAGACAGTGGCAGAGCAAATGCCATTAGATGAAGATGGCTTTGTTCAGTATAGTTTTTTTAAAAAAAAGGAAGTTCATTATAGTAACCAGCAGAACATTAATTTTGCTTTGCTCCAAGCCCATAGCACAACGTAAAAGAAAATCACACTCATGAGGCCTTCGATATGAAGCAGCTAATTGCTGTTTTGGTTGATCTGAACAAAGGATTCAAATTCGGAGAATGAGATAGTACTTGCGAGAGATGACGATGTGCCAAAAAGGATTTAAAACGGTTTACTTATTTGGGCCTTTGGATGTGCATGGGCCGGACAGAATCAGGAATTGGGCCTCACGAACCAAACTGTGTGTAGTTGGGCCTATAAACCTGAACAGATCTGTACCATCAACGCAATTAATTACGAGAATCAACGTCCTATCGAGGAGTATAATTATTCTAGATTTTCCAAGTTTTGTCCGCAAAGCAAAACGTACGTTTATATTTCGAAGCAATCCACCGTGAATCCCTAATAATTTATTTGCACCCAGCACGAGAGGTAATTGGAAATACTGACACGCACACACAAGTACAGGTAGGAGTACTAGTTACTTCCATTCCACCGGGATATATATAAAGAAAATGATGAATTTCGCTTGAAAATGGGTTTGGTTTGCAGATATTTGTGATCCTTCCAGACGCCGTCGACATGTCAAAAACTATTCAACTCTCGCGCGAAGAAACGCCCCGCGTGCAACGTACTTAACGACGTTAACGTGTCGTGGGCTCGTGGCTTTTCATCGGTCAAAGCTACGGCGCCCACAGGTCCACTGCCACGTCAAACGGGACATTCCTGGCTGTCCGATTATTTTCAGGTTCGTAGCGGCCGTTAGATCCGCTTCCGTGTGTTCGTAATTGGCGGTTTATGGCCGCGTGGCGCGGGTTCCCACGATTATACCCCTGACGGAAATACGAAATCGCTCGGTGCACACGGGCGTGGGAGAAAAACTGTACACAGAAGAGTTCTGGAATGTAAAAGTAAACAGGTAAATTGGCTAAATTCTAAAGTTAAATTTATACTGATATTTTGAGATTTAGGCTGAGTTTATTTCTGTTAGCATGTTTCCCAAACTAATAAACGATACGTTTTGTGTGAAAAAATATGTATAGAAATATTTTTCAAATGTGAGAATTTTTGCCTGGAGAGTAGCTTCAAACAGTTTAGCGACTTTGGAAAATAAAAAGAAGAGAAATTTGGAAGAAAAAAAAACATATATCTGTTCTATTTGTGACAGAGAGAAGGAGGATGCAGCTCATGCCCTGTGCAGAAATATTCATGCTAGCCATCTCTGGGCATCCTTATACAAGACAGACAATATCCCTAAGGAAATACTTATCTCACTTCCACGAAAAAAAGTAAACACTAGTACTCCTTTGCTCCGAGGAATCCTACCTTCTCCAAAGGTAGAATCCCTCTCACTTTAAAACACTAGAGTTTTGGGTACTAAAAAAACGAGTGGTTTCCGGGCTCGCCTCTTCGAGGGGCCTCCGCTCATGGACAACCTCACTCCGGGTCTTACCCACCCTCGAGTCCAATCTCGGGTGGGCGCTTAGGCATACCCTATTCACTTGGATATTCAGAATATTCAATTTGGCACTAACTGGCTTTTTGACTGTATTGAAGGTCTATATGCGTATGAGTGTGCCATGTTCTTGATGGTTCTTTGGAGGAACTGGTTTGTGAGGAATGAACTCATCCATGATAAAGTAGCCCCGCCAATTGAGGTCTCAAAGAGATTCATTGTAAGCTATGTAGACACACTGTTTTAAATCCGGCAAAATCCTTCTATCGACCTGGTAAAGGGCAAATATGGTTAATTCAGTCAAGGAATCGCCAAGATCCCATGCCTCGCCCAAGCCTCAGCTGCGATGGGAAAGACCACCAGTGGGGTGGATGAAACTAAACATAGATGGCTCCTTTGATAGTAGTGCAGAGAAAGGGGGTGTCGGGGCAATTCTTCGGGATAGTGCTGGGAAAACCATCTTTGCTTCCGGTAAGGCAATCGAGAGATGCAGTGAGGCACTGGAATCTGAACTCCGGGCGTTTATGGATGGTCTATCAAAGGCAGTTCAGTGGACTTTACTCCCAATAGTGGTTGAGACAGATTGCCTCATAGTTCTTCATCTTCTTGATAGCAAGTAGAAGGACCGTTTGGTGTTTGCTATCATCATTCAGGAAGCGAAGTCGCTTGTTGCTGGCGGTGATAGAGAGATTGTCATTAGGAAAGTGAGTCGAGGCCAAAATTCAGTTAGCCACTTCCTCACAAACAAAAGTAGGGTGAAGTCTTGTTCGTTTTTTGGTTGGAAGAAAATTGTAGTCCTCTTATAGTCTGTGGAATTATTGATTCTGAGTAATATATGTTTTTCTTCCCCGCACAAAAAATATTTTTCAAAAATCCAAATAAATCATTTTCTAGTTCACACTAATTAATATTTAATTAATAATATGATTAATAATTTGTCTAGTTTTTTGAGCCTTGAGCCGCCAACAGCCACCGCCGACTTGCCATATAGCCCTACCGAACTCGATTAGCTTTAGACAAAAAAAAAATGCTCCCGTGACTAGCGAATTGTTCTCATCTCTATTGTTGGTTTTGCATTAAGGTTAACTGCATTCTCAATAGGCTAATTTCTCTTAGAAAATTTGCCAATCAATTACATTTTTTTTGCGGGGATCAATTACATTTTATAATAAATAATCTAAAAGGAATATTTGATTTTGCTGGCCTCAATCATGTAACATTTTCGAGAGAAAGTTATTAGTAGACGCGTGTTGCCGTCCAGGACTCCATGGTTGTACACCTAGCAAAATTGCCTGCCAAAACAACAGGCGCGTCATTAGCGTTAAACACCTCTCGCAAACCCATGTGCCCCACGTCGCAGTGACACACAAATCCACTCTTGTAATCAAACCCCCCCCCCCCCCCCCCCCATTTGACGCCATAAATTCCAACGAACTCGCGCAACACGGGGAGACAATTTCTTCTGCGGCTCGTTTCCTTTCGTTTCGTTTCCAAGCCGCCCAGATCTCGCTTCTAGAACCTTCCACTCCAGGGCGGAGGCGGGATGCCTCCTCAGGAGCCCGCTCCCGCGGCGAACGGCGCCGCCCCTGCCCCCGCCCCCGCCGCCGCGGCGGCTGCGGCGGGAGGCAAGCGCCGGAAGCGGGGTCGGTGGGCGGCGGCCGCGGGGGTGGGGGCGCTGCTCGTGGCGCTCCTCGCCGTCGCCGTCAGCTCGCGCAGCTTCCCGGCGGCCTCCTCGTCCTCGCGTGGCGGAGACTGCGGCTGCCCCGTGAGTTCTCTCGCCCGTTGCTGTTGTTGGAGGGTGTGATCTGTGGCCGTGGGAGAACTTGTTTCTCGTGTGTGGCGAGTCGGTTTTTGATTTTTGGTGTGTTGTGCGTTGTGCTGCTAGGGGACGAGGAAGTACACGGGGATGGTGGAGGATTGCTGCTGCGACTACGAGACGGTGGACGCCATCAACGAGGAGGTGCTGCACCCGATCCTGCAGGAGCTCGTCACTTTGCCCTTCTTCAGGTACTTCAAGGTGAGGATGGATCCATGGCCTTTTTGCAATCGTTAGTGTGCGATATTAGTGATTGCAGAAAATGTATGTTGTAGTTATGTTTTGGAGAGCTAGAATTGCTGAAATTTAAAGCGATCCATGCGTGACTGAAGAATGTGGCCATGTGGCTGTGGCGCATAAATGTAGAATCATTTCCCAAACGCATATTGTGTGTTCTATTTACCAAATTGATGCGTTTGGTACTGTAGTGGTGATGCGCGGTTGCATCCTGGGGTTTTTAAGGTTCAGATAGCAGGCAATGGTATCTGTTCTACCCCCCCCCCCCCCCCCCTCTATTTGTCAATGAATTTTCACAACTAAACAGATTAGTTTGGTGGAGCATTAGGTGAGACGTGTTGCCCCGCAAAAAAAAAAACGGTGAGACATGCTGGCTACCTTATGGTGATATATAGCTTCAATGTCAGATTAATCTTAGTCTTTTTGTTTCTACATTTCCTTGCAGTGGCAATCAATAACTAAACTTAAGATTTGTGGTCAAGGAGATAGTATTGATTAATTGATGCATGCCTGAAAATTCTGCTCTTAGTCCTGTTTCTAGCAAAGGTGGGATTGACTGGTGTAGTATTTTTTCAGTTAGAGCACTTAACCAACTACCATCTTGCACCTACAGATACTGACGTGTAAAATGCTGAGGAGTCAGTATGTCATACACGCTGCCTGACTATTTTATTTGTTAACTTTGTGTATGATTGCACCAAAATATGACATTGAAAATAAACACTCAAAAAAATTCACTTGTTTATTTGCTTTCTTGTTTAGGTTAAATTGTGGTGTGACTGCCCTTTCTGGCCTGATGATGGAATGTGTCGGCTTAGGGATTGTAGTGTCTGTGAGTGCCCAGAGAATGAGTTTCCTGAGCCATTCAAGAAGCCTTACAGTGGCCTTTCTCCAGATAGTATGATCTGTCAGGAAGGAAAACCACAGGCTACTGTTGATAGAACCCTTGATGCCAAGGTTTTCAAAGGATGGATTGAAACCGACAATCCATGGACATATGACGATGAGACTGATAATGGTAAAGTTGTTTTTGCATCCTTTTAGTATATTGTGTCCCTTTTGTGTGTTCTTTATTACTATATGTGACAGTTGCTGAAAAAAACATCATTTCAGCTGAGATGACTTATGTGAATCTTCAACTCAACCCTGAACGTTACACTGGCTATACTGGTGATTCTGCTCGCAGAATATGGGACTCTGTCTACAAAGAAAACTGTCCAAAATGTAAGCATATGTGCTCCCAGATACGTTTACCATGCCACTCTTGACTTCTCGTTTCATTTGCACTGTAATTTGGAAATGCAAGTAGAAATGTCTAATTCTTTATATATTTCATTCCAACTCTTTTTTTTCCTGTGTTACTTGTATTTTATCTATTGTCTATCTCCTGCCTTACTTTATACGATTAATTTTGAGGGAGCTCAACATATATATGATGGTATCATTTGCTTTCGTTCCTGTATCAATAAAATTATCTGAACACAGGTTTTTAAATTGTATCGGTTTCTTTCAGATCCGTCTGAAGAAATGTGTCAGGAGAAGAAGGCACTGTACAAGCTAATTTCAGGGTTGCACTCCTCAATTTCAGTACACATTGCTTATGATTATCTTCTAGATGAATCTGCCAACTTGGTATGTGCCATTATTATGCCCCTGAGTTAGTATTTGTTAGATCATTTTTCATAATTGTTTGACAAATTGTGATGCAAATGACCACAGTGGGGACATAATCTTCCTTTGCTGTATGACCGTGTTCTGAAGTACCCCGAGCGTGTACAAAATTTGTACTTCACTTACCTGTTTGTTCTTCGGGCTGTGACAAAGGTTCCTCCTTCTCCCTTGCTTTAAAATCGAACTCTTTGTTTTGCATGGTACTCATGTACTACAAGGTTAAGCTGCCAATTTTCTGTTCTAAAGCTTGCTGCATATAATAGTTTTATTTGGCTTTTGCAGGCAGCAGATTACCTTGAGCAGGCTGAGTACAACACCGGCAATCCTGAAGAGGACTTGAAAACACAGTCTTTAGTGAAGCAATTGCTTTACAACCCCAAATTAAGATCAGCGTGCCCGTTACCATTTGATGAAGCAAAACTCTGGCAAGGTGAAAATGGCCCTGAGCTAAAGCAGGAGATTCAGAAGCAATTTAGAAATATCAGGTGTGTGTTCATGTTATTCATGTTTTCAGTTCATAATATGCACTTGTCTGATTCAAAATCATATCCTTGGAATGTTATTTTCACAGTGCAATTATGGATTGTGTTGGATGTGAGAAGTGTCGATTATGGGGAAAGCTCCAAGTTCTTGGTCTCGGTACTGCATTGAAGATTCTTTTCTCTGTTGATGGAGAGAACCATTTGAATCAATCAGTACGTATCTCATTTAATTTTTACTCTTGGCTTTATCATTATGCAACATAAAGTAATATGTTTAAGACTCCTTTGTGTTCAATTGGTTGGACCATGCTCCAGTTTGAGTGCTTTATTTGGCAGATTGCGCTCATATTACCTAATTCCTTAACACTTGCTGTTGATGATCACAAAAAATCTTAAGTTGTGGATTGTCTTAACAATTTACTAGTAGCAGTAGTTACTTTTTGGCATGAGAGCAACAGGAAATACTGTTCAAATTTACCGTTGAATACATTTAAGATGTTTGCAATGGTGATGAGTCTGACAATTTGTCTTCTGGGTAAATTATTCAGCTCCAGCTGCAGCGAAATGAGGTCATTGCACTAGTAAACCTTCTGAATAGGCTGTCAGAATCTGTCAACTTTGTACATGAAAAAGGACCATCAATTGAGGATGTCATTAAACAACAGAGCTCTTCTACTGTGAAACCGGTGTTTCCTATCTGAATCGTGAAATAGTAAGTGTTAATTTTTTTCCTCAGGCAGATTTTTTTAAAAAAAAAGACATACTCATACCCTTTCGTTCTTCAACATATGGTTTCTGCAGGCGTTAAACTGAGATGTATTTACAACTTTGATCCATACTAGAACAATGATGTAGGTGCTGGGGTGAAGCTTACTAGAGAATTTTGCAGATCCTAGACAGAAGATATACAGAACTTTGAGATCCAAACAATTGCAATTTTCGATGTAAATCGTGGTATTTGGCAATGGGACCTCTTTTGTAAGGGATCACTGCCCATTTTGCAATGTTGCATGATCAAAGAGATGATGTCCTAACATGCCCATAGACTTCTTCATGTGTAAACTGTGAATCTGTGATCATATTGCTAACAAGCAAAAGCTTTTTGCCAATCTAATTGGATGCTGTCCGCCTTCGATTCAACTATTATTGCATTGTGGGGCAAGAGCATAGGAGCACCTTGTAACAAGTGGATAGAACTTATGAAAGACAACTAAAATTTTCATTACATGAAATAGGTGTTTGGGTATCACAAAAAGATGAGGCAAAAGTCAAATGGCTGAATAGCTGAATGACTTTGGTGGTGTTAGTTTCTAGTGAAGATGAAGATAAAGTTAGGGTATGAAAAACAATAAATTTATTAGTACATTATTAATTGAGTTTTAATTATTACAAATTTTAAAAATAGATTTGTCTCATATTTTAAAATAATTTTTATATAGAAAGTTTTTGAACAATTTTTATACAGAAAGTTCTTGTGTGAAATACACCATTTAGCAGTTTGAAAAACGTGCTAACGAAAACCAAGTTAAATGTGTATCTGAGTGCTGAATAGGAGTAGAATGGTTTCATTTCTTAGAAAAGAACACTCGGCAATGATAAATGGTCGATTGGTACCTTCATCTCCAAAGATTGGTACCTTCGATAAATGCCACTGTTGAACATTTCTACTTACCTGATGTCCTTATTTCCTTCTCCCCTATCTTCTTGCACAAATTATTCAAGGTCGTTCAGGACGGCGCACAAATTGCAGAACCCACTGGATAAGAGACCGACTGTATATTCGGACGCGAGAGCATGGCACTAGCCTTGGCACATGTCCAGTGTGTCGCAGAGAGGAGGAGCGAGCAGCTAGTGGGATGCACAGTGAAGATTCAGTGATCAGTTATGGAGCAGATGGCATCCTTGTATGAGGCTACTTTTGCACAGCTGCTCCTCCTACTTGTCACGTCTACCTCCAACAAGTCAGTAGCCAAAGGCTGCCTGCTGCTGCACTGAACAAATAAAATCTCTTTAAAAAGGGAAGGAAAGAGAAGCTCTTGATCACATCCATGCTGATCGTCGTCGACTCATCGTGTAGTACTTCTCATGGTATGGCAGCACAGTTGCAGCTACAGAAGCTGCAGAGACCAGGTCTCCTCAAAGGTTTTGTTTTACTTCCAGCGCTGCACCGGCCGGGCAGCCTGATGATGATCTGCGAGAGAAGTTGCAGAAATCAGCATATATATGCAGATTGCAAAATGCCTGTTGTTTAGCTGCACCAAATTAGTTTTTCTACTCCCACAATGGATAGTACCATTTGTATTCTTGCATGCATGATTACACAAAGGTACTAGTAATCCATGTATCCACGCATTACTGATGTTTCTTTCTGTTTCTCTTAGGGCACCCGCAATCTCTATAAGGGATCCATGTCAGCATATTTTTCTATTTGGAAGAGATTAAATGAAGAGAGAGAGCAAATCTATCTACTAACCTGGAGATAGTCTATAGAGAAAAACGAGACAATGTATTAGAGAGCTATAGATACCCATGTAGACATATTATTGAGATGGTTTACTATTAATCTAGTCTATTGTTGAGATGTATATGTTTTATAGATAGCACCTTTACTTTACCATTGCGGGTGCTCTTAGGGCACCCACAATGGTTACCTATAGGCTCTCTACAAAAGATCCATATCAACATATTTTCCTACTTGGAAGAGATTAAATGAAGAGAGAGAACAAAACTATCTACTAACCCGGAGATAGTCTATAGAGAAAAACAAGGCAATGGATTAGAGACCTATAGATACCCATGTGTAGATATACTATTGATGTGGTATACTACTAATCTAGTCTATTGCTAAGATATACATGTTTTATAGATAGCACCTTATTTTACCATTGCGGGTGCTCTTAGAGCAAGTATAATAGTGAGCTATAAGTTTACTATAAGCTTATGTGGAGGAGAGAGGTAAACAAAAGAAAAGGGTGTTGGCTCTCATGCAAGAGCTAGCTTAACATAAGCTCCAAGACAAATACATTAAATGTATAAGTGAGAGATAGAGATAGGAGAAGAAAATTATAGCTAATCTATTATATGTGTTGACTTTAGGATGGGCTAATAGTAGAAAGTGGGCTATATTATTATCTTTGCTCTTAGAGATAGTACAATTAATCTCCTTACGTTTTCAAAAAACTACGCATTGACTATTATTGTTACACTTTGACCGCTAAATATACTCTTTGACTACAATGTGAAGAATTAAGTGTCATGTTTATGTGTAGGAAGCAATACATTTTCATTCTGGCATTTAAGTATTTGTAACTCTTTATTTGTTAAAATAAAAAGAGATACTCCTAGTAATTAAAGTTTTAAGATAGATAACTCGCAAAAAAATAAGGATGAATAATTTTGATATCAGTTATTTAAAAATAGATGGACTATAAGGATCAAGGTTCGATTTTCGTGAAACAGCTAGTTATTTAGAAAAATCAATCGGTTTTAACTGATTTCCGTATGACATTGACTAAAAGTCATTGATTTTTGGCCGGTTTTCAATAAATCGGTGGGGGTGGGAAAACCTGATAAGGATACAGTGGACCCAGGGGTTCAGTATTATGGGTTATATGAACTGACGGACTACTCACTGAACCATGTTTTGTTTGGCTTGTGACAATGACAAGCCATGACAGTGATGGTTCATGTGTTAAAAAAACACATTGTTTTGAATAATAAAATGGCAGCCAGGGAAACAAAGCATGCGTTTGGTAGGCCAAGGCGATCCATGTCCTGATCCTCTTGGAGCTGGAGTTCAAGCTGCATATACGTAGGGCCAAACTGACTGACTCATCAGCCTGCTGGTGTTTTTCCCCATGCAATGCTGCATATGCACAGTGCCGTGATATTTATTCGTGGCATTTCTAGGTCACAAGTTTTTCTTGAGTCCTGAACAGTAATCTGACCTGTGTAATGGCAAGTTTGCATCTCCAACTCCATGCCCTTGATCACTGAATCAATATACAGAATAAAGAAACATGGTACTATTATTTATCTTAAATCTTTTACTACCTCCGTTTTTTAATATATGACACCATTGACTTTTTCTCATATGTTTGACCATTCGTCTTATTCAAAAAATTGGGAAGAATCTCTTGGGACTAATTAATTATACTATGCATGAGCACACATGAACAGTTTGGTTGGATACACTGATTCAGCAAGTGCACGTGGTTATCGTTGCCTATCAAGTACCATCAACATTCCATCTGAACTTGGTACACACAGACCAACAATTCAGCAACAGCAAAATCAGTTAATTAATTAATTAATTAATTGGCTGGGTGTAGCATAAACAATGCTACTGTACACATACAGTTGATCTGTTGATATAAAATACTACTCCTACTAGTACTGTGTTTTTTGCACACACACACACACACTATTGCCATACCATGTATCTGCAGTATGTACACAGTTTATTGCATCTTTTAGTGATGAGCACCGAAAGAATCAAATTAAATCAAACCAATAGTTACGAGACAAAGTAATAATCATTGCTTAATTGCTCTGAGCTGTGTCTGGGCTAGCTTTCTCATGGCCGGCAGCGCCGTCCAATGGTGGTGTTGGGGTCGTAGGTGCAGCCAGAGTGCCCAGCCTTTGCCTTGCTCACCATCACGGCTCTCATCATGACAGCCTCGCCTGCGGCTGCTCCTGACCGTTCGATCGCATCTCCTTTCAGATGCCTCGACGCATCCGAGCCGTCCGATGACGAGACCAGAAGGACCAGCACGAGCAGCAGCTTCAGAACTCCGGCCATTCCTTGGCAAGCTTCACGCAGAGCACAGCAGGTGACTTCAGTTTTTTTTCTTTTCTTTTCCTCCTGAAAAAAAATCTTAAATCTCCCGAGCTAGGTGTATGTATGGCTAATACTACTACTAGTACTAACACTGTTTCTGAAATGGAGCTAGGCTTGCAGGAGAGGTACAGGGCCTTGGGCGTTTAAATACAGGACTTGCTACAGACGAGGCATGCAGGTTTTTGCATGCTAATTGCTGTGAAATTGTGCAAGAATGTTGCTTAAAGTCAACTAGTGAAGGGTTTTGATTAGAACTCAGTCAAACCGAGAAGCGGTCTGTGCGTGCGTTTCACTGAACCGAATGGTGTGATGCCGTTGCCTCCGTTTCACGGCTACCCGGCACAACTATTAGTCTATTACTACTACGTCGTCAATATCTATGGGCTCGAGAGAGATATATGTGACTGAGGTGTGCCTGAATTTATTGTATTTCATGCATCGATCGGTTCAACCAAAAAAGTATAAATCAATAAAAAAGACAAATAATTCAGTTTACGTTCCAACACTTTTCTTGCACACCAGACCCAAACTCAAGATCGCTAACTCTGATACCACATATTTAGTTGCATGTATTGAACAGTTTAATTAAAAACCTAAACAGATAAATAAACGGACAATTCACTTAATATTTGAAAAGAACTGACAACGGTTTCCTTTCGTTATTATTGTTGTTGTCTGAACTTCCAAGGACGCAACACATAAATACTATTTGCGCGGAAGCTAGTAGCGTTTATGTCTGTCAAGTTAGTCGACCTTGCTGCTTGCTGCCATTCAGCGCGTCCAACGTACGTAGTTTCGTCAAAATTTCGACGAGTTCGCGGCGAAAGTCCAGGCAAAAATCTCTCGGAAACACCAACAGGGGAGGCAAGCCACTGGCCGTGGCCGGCCGGTGGCGTTGGCCAACACGCATGTGCGCCTTGCGACCGCACGCCCCGCGCCAGCGTACGTGCGTCCGGCCGTGCATCCCGTCGTCCAAATCATGCGATCCAGTTCCGTTGGTTGGACACATGCAACCCACTAGTCGTACTTTCATTTGATCATGTAAAGAAAAAACTTGTTACTAACGTCCTTTCGATTCGATACTACTCCAATACTAAGTTTGTCAGGAATGGAGGAGCGGTGAGCCGGTGACACGTTTTTTGCTTGGACTGCTGCCAAGACTGACTCGATCCAACATGCAACACGAGCTACTACGAGTAGCATGATTTGCACCAACTGGATACTCCCTCCGTTCCAAACTTCCGATATACTACAAATCTTTTTATAACTACAAA